TCAGAATAATTCGGACTAATTTACAACTTGATAAGCATGTGACACATGATACATATCCGAACGACTATGGAAAGCATTTAAGAAAGGGAGTATCATGAGACTATAAAAACATTGGTAAATACATATGTGGCATGTAGTGCGAGCAGAGTGTAAAAAGAACTTTAATGGGTTTTTTTATATGAAAAATTGTGCAGTATGCTCATGTGCAACGCTCCTCAATACCACGTTACGTGGCATTCTATTGAGCAAAATGTCAAAGATCAAGGCAACACTATGGCAATATATATATGATGGCTGAAGATAGAGGGGCCGTAGAAAATTTAGCCCATGAAAATGTATATATATATATCTATATTACAGTAAACTAGAAAAAAAGTAAACTCTAGTGGTGAAAACATTCCAAAATAAGGATACACGTACATGGTAACGTGTGGTAATACCTTGTAACGTGATGAACGTGAGTTCTATGGTACTATGTAACAGTGAGTTAATAGAAAACATATTAAATTAACCATGAAATGAGTAGTTAATATATACTGTACCGTAAATGACTTAAAAAATCCCGATACTGTACTCCGCGATCAGTTAGATATATTATCCTACAGAACTGAACACAAAATTTTTACACTCGGAAGCACAACAAATGCTGTGTAAAATTGTAAGTATTCGACTGAATTTACCACTTTTATAATGAGTCAATTTGTTAAGTAATGAGAACAAGTTTTTTTTTTCCTGAATTGTGACTTTTATTAAGCTTGGAAAATGAACACATATACAGTTTTTCATCAGTTATTGATTTTATTTTCTTCTGAAATTTAGTGTGCATGTACCTCAATTATGTTTGAGAAATATTGGAGGAGGATTGTTTTGTGACAGGGATTGTTTAATGCTAACGGAATGCATTATTGAATTTAATATACAGTTTGGTGTGTCAGCCATATTGGAATGCTCTTTAATGTCTGAAAGCACATATGCATGTTATACTGATAAGGGGCACAGCAAACTTATAACCACAGGTAACGTTACTTATCGCTTTCTAAGTCGGTGGTCACACATCCTGACATTGATCGTGCTTTCGTATTGTTTTTTTCTCATTCCGAACTGACGAGCTCGTATGGATAAAGTATGTTCGTGAGATTATTGTACGTTAAGGGGCCGTCACACCATAACGTTCTGGTCAGCGTTGTATGACGTTTGAGGAAACGTTGGTAATCGTCGGTGGTCACTGGTATAGCGCCAGAAGAGCGTTGTGTGAACGCTGGTGAACGCTGGTAATCGTCGGTGATCGTCGGTGATCGGCGGAGAACGCTGGTCAGAAAATAAAGTTGTGAAAATGAACAAAAGTTCTCTTTGAGACTAGCGTTCTTCAACGTTTAACTTTAAATGCTGGAGAACGCTGTAGAACGATCGTGAAACGTTGTACTAACGTTCGGCTGTTGTTAGTCAGTTGTTATCCTAGCGTTACTTGGTTGTGATTAAACGTTCACAATCTTTGCTTTGCAGTGAACGACTCAACACGCTAGTCTGTCGTTAGTCATACGTTAGTCACACGCTTAACACGCTCGTTGACTAATCGTTCGTCGCGCGCCAGTGACACGTCAGCACCCGCTTATAGTTTTCAGGGGTGTCTTACGTGGTCGCTGGTACACGCTCCTAATGCGTTAGTCACACGCTAGTCATGCGTAAGTCACACGTTAGTCACACGCCAAAAGTGTCCATCTCACCATAGAACGCTCGAAAATTAAACGATTAAACATAAGATCTTAGAACGCTTGTTTCACGTCAAGAAACGGAACGAGTATAGAACGTAACGAAACGAAAACTCGACTCGGAGACGGGACGGAGCGAAACGGAACTATTAGGGTAGAGCGGGTTTTAAATGTGGCGAAGAAGAACGAAACATAAAAAACAGTCTGCGATGGATACGGAACGAATTGAATCTTGAGAATAGAATGAAATCAAAACGCGCATGGAATGGAATTATAACGGAATAAAAACGCAAAATCTGTCAACCGAAACGCTGACACCGCTGTAGAATACATATTTAAATGTACACATTCAGTATTGTTTTTATGATTTACAACAATACACTTTTCTTTTAAAAAGAATCTGACGGTAAAACATATACATGTACTTTTTAAACTGTATTTTATCTTCATATTTATACACCTCACACCTACGATACACCCACTCCCAACACTTACCTGGAAACTTTGATGACGTAATGTACAGATGTCGATCGTGCACTTCCGTAAGTAACAGGTAGATTTCAGGTATAAAACGCGGCCGCCTGACAGGTAAGCGGATTACAGTTCTAGGTAACAGAGGACCACGAAAGACTATAATCAGACCTACAGAGAGTGACGTGCAACAGGAACTATGAATGTAGCCAGCGTAGCTTTGTTTGCCGCTCTTGCCGTCTGTGGCGGTGATAGGTACCGATATAGATAACTGTATCTGTCTTTATATAAGGGGTTTTGTCGATACTTAAGGATCCTTATATACTAGTAAATAAACTGCAAAATATTTTTACCCAACTTTGAACAAAATTCAAGCGAATTTTGTTTTATATTAAAGATGTTTTCTTCTGATGTTTAAATCAATTTCAGGTCTCTATTTGATCTCGGGTAACGTTTTTGTAATATTTAGTAAATTATGAACAATGTTTAATTTTGAAAATGTGTTGTCTTGCACTTGACGAAAGGCAATATTTTCACCTTTTTGACACTAAATTGATCACTTTTAAAAATCGTCATAGTGTCACCATTTTAAATAGAAGTAAGTTTATTTTTGCTGTATATCTTAATAATATTCATTATGATGAAAATAACATGCAATTAAGTGGAAAATTATACATTATTGGTATTTTTTTAATAACATATTTACTGAAGCACTTTTGATTCTTTGATTTTTAACCCGCAAATAATCGTGGGACAAAAAACCCCAATATAACATGCACCCCACATTTTTGTTTCTGCTTCTGCCTGTTAATAGCCTCCCTCTCCACTTCATGGTGACGCCGAGGTATACTGCTGAATGAACTTCTTGCAAGGAATGGCCGTGTAGGTAGTAATTGGTCTTGATGGGATTTCTCTTGTTGGTTATTCTCAAGATATTGCACTTGTCCGGGTGGAACTTCAACACCACTGATCCTCCCAACATTCTAGCTTGTTTAGATCCTCCTGTAGCGTCTTACCGCTGTTTTCTGAGGTAATGGTGAGGTAGGCAATAGTGTCGTCGGCAAACAACCGGACAGTAGACGTTAGATTGTCATGCGGACATCGGTCTGTTGGCCGGCCTGGAGGTTGTTGGTAAGATCGTCCAGGAACTCGATTAGTTGGGTCTCACATGATCTGCCTTTCCTGAAACCATGCTGTAGGTCATAGAGAATGTTGTTTTTCTTGCCGTGGGACATGATGGTAGAGGTTATTACTTTGCTGCAAACAGATGTGTGGGATATCGGCCTGTAGTTCGCTGCGACGTATTTCTATCCTTTCTTGAAAACAGGCGTTACGTTGGCAGTGCGTCAGTCATCCGGAACCACACCCGTTGCAAGTGACTTCGTGAAGAGAAGATTAAGTAATGGAGCTCTGGCCGCGTGTGTCTCCTTTAATCCATTGGTGAGATGTTATCTGGGCCGGGTGCCTTATGTACATCGAGATTTCTGAGAAGTTTACCAATCCCGTTCGTGGTAAAGTTGATATTGTCAACGATTGGGGAGTCCGGGGAAGGGTTCATTCTTCCAGATGATATAAACTCCTCGCGGGTGAAGGTAGTTTTCTTGGAGAAGGCTGTCTGGAATTGCGAGTTAAGAATGTAGGCCTTATATGTGGCGTCGGAGAATAGTTTGATTCGTGTTTCAGTGAGGAGATTCCAAACCTGTCCTTCCGCTTATGTTTGATGAAGGTCCAGAATTTCTTAAATCCTTTTGAAAAAGTGTCATTGTCGTTTGGGGTGACAATTTCTTCAATGTACTTCCAGTAAGCCCGTCTTTGATCTCTCTGGATGGTACGCTTCAGATCGCGGTTCACTTCTGTTAACCCGGAGTCGTGAAATATTCTTATATATTTACAGTGCTTCACTTTTGTTAACCGGGAATTGTGAAATATCCTTATATACTTACAATGGTTATCTTTTGTTAACATGATATCGTGAAATATTCTCATATATTTACAACACTTTCACTTTTGTTAACATAAAATCGTGAAATCTGCTCATATAGTTACAATGACCTCACTTTTTGTTTATCTTGAATCGTAAAATCAGATTTCAATTTCAATTACAAATTACTGTTTTTCCTAAATTGCAAGGCAAGGAATCAAATGAAATATTTGCGGATAAGTTTGTTTGGAATGCGTATCACATTAATATTATATCAGCTATGTTCTAGTACATCGTATTGACAATTGCAGTCATTAAAGAAAAATATCAGAAAAATTTCCTAGATTCAACGAGATGCATCGAAACGTGTACCACAAGTTGTGCTAGAAATGTTTGCCCTGACGGAGACCTTATTTCACCTCCAGTTTTTAAAGGGGTTCATTATTTTCTTTTCTATTATTACCTAAATTTCTTCTTGTAGTGGTGCCTTTTCGTATCAATTTTGACCTCTGATGTTGTAATTGTGCGTTGGCGCCCTTGAAAGATATATTTTTATATAATGTTTTTAGCATATCTTTTTCCAATATATCTGCTACGTATGAGTCGGATATTGTTTTCTATTTCAAAATACGTTACCACAGTCATTATAATGCATATTCCAACCTTACTTGGCTCTTTAGATACGTAAATAAAGAATCCCCCCATGGGGAATCCCTGGAAAACCCACCAATCAGACGGCAGTATTCACGCACGTGATCAGACACAAAGCCATGCTTCTCACTTCATAATTCCTTCAGCCTTCGTGTTTACGGACGTGTTTTGGTTTCTCACTACGGGGTTCCAACTGCTGCTGGCGTTGTTTGTACCGATATATTGTATCCTTTATACTATATACTTTATTTTGTTTAAATTTAGCGTTTTGCTTTATTTTGCGCCGTTTTGCGACCAGGCTCCGGCCATGTATTCGCGTTTGATGGTTTGTTTATTTTGAGATGGAGACTCCTCCTTCTCATAGGCGCTGTCCTGGGGGTCATTTATTTGAGGCTTCCGACCCCCACCCTTATTGTCCTAGCTGTCGGTCTTGCTCTCTTGAGCAGCCCTGTGACATTTGCCGTGCCTGGCAGCCGACTTCTGCCGGTGGTTCTCCCCGCCCGCGAGGGCTTGCAGGTAAGTCGGGTAGGAGGGGTAGGGGTGGGGCGAGGGCTAAGGCTAGGCCTAAGCCCTCGGAGAACACCAGCATTCGTTTCGGCGGTTTCGGCCCCCTTCCGTTTTGTCGGTCGACGTGGGTGAGGGTTTGGGCTCTGTCCCGGGCACCACGGTGACTAAGGGACAGGGGGGCGGCCTTCTCTCTCAATTTGGGGTGGGAGGGCAGGTGGCCCAACATTCCCTTGGGAATGTTAAACAGGCTAGCCCGGTTGTGTCCGTGGACGCTTCTGTTGGTAGCCTCCTGCCGGTCCGCTCCACTCCTGAGGGTGTTGTTGTCGGAGACCGGCCCCCGGCAGTTTTGTCTGCTCCCGGGGTTCCCTGCATCCCTGATGTAGCCCCTGGCGTGGTGACAGCGTCTAGCACGCCGTCTAACATTGTGCAGCATTTGCTGCCCGGTCCGGTGGTAAGTGATGCCTCGGCCTCGCTAGCCTCGGCTGGATTTAACGGTGGTGTGAGCACTGGTGTAAAAACCTATGCTCCCTGCTCTATCCCTTGTGCTTCCTCCCCAGATTTTCCTATGGTAGGTGCCAGCGCGGCTGCGTTTGGTTTTGCCGGTGCACGCTTCTCCCCTGGTGGGGCTTGTTTTACTGGCCCTACAGGTTTTGGCCCTGCTGTAGGTCAGTCTGGGTGGAGTTGGTCAGGTCAGCCAGGTGTGGCTTATGGCGGCGGGTGTGTAGGTGGCCCTAGGTTCCCTACCCCAACCCTCCCCCAAGCTGGTCCTGCCTCCGGTTTTGGTTGGTGGCTCTGTTCCAGGGTCCTTCCTGGTTTATCCCACCTATTTGCAGGGTGGGAATGGAGCTCATTGGGGTCAACAGGCTCCTTTTTATGCTCCGGGCAGTCTTGGGGTTCCTCCCAGCAGGGGGCTTTTCCGGCCGCTCCCTCTCCACCCCAGGGTGGTATGGGTTTCCAGCCTGGATATACCCCCCCCCCCCGCCTTCTTGCCTGCGGCGATTGGTCCCCCCCCCCTCCATCCGCAAACCGAGCCGTTCGCGTAAGCGTTCGCGCTCCCGGCCATCTTCTGCTGCCGGTTCTGTCAGGCAGAGACCGCGTGATGCTAGGGCTGCTGGTCGTGCTGCGTTGTCTCGAGCTTCTATTTTGGAATTTGAGTCTACCAGTAACTTCCGCTGTCCTGCATCAACTCCTACCTTACAGCAGGTTCCAGGGTATCTTGATCCTGCTCCTGCTTTCTCTTAGGGACTATCGCTTGCCCCGATAGTTCCTTCGGGAAGGTCACATTATCTCTCTTCTCCTTGCACCCCTCCCCGGAGTGTGACGTTGATAGAGGTGGATTCGGCGGGTGCCTCTCCTAGTGATGAGAGGGACGTTCTTCGGGGCTCTCCGGGTTGCTCCAATTTTACGGAGACTCGGGATGAGGATAGAATTGGCGAGTTTTCTGACTCTGATTTGGAGTCGTTGGATTCGTCTGGGTTGGACTCGGAAGGCCCTTCCGATGTTTCCCAATCCCGGCCCCGAGATGCTGATCCGGTGCCTCCAGAGGTTTCGGCTTCGTTTCGCACTTTACGTGCAGAAGTTATGAAGCTTCTGGGGGACGGGGTTTGCCCACACCCGGAGCACACCTCGGCTGTCCCGGAGCGCACTTCGCTCCTTCAGAGCATGTTGCCTCCCCTAGCATCTGCCTCCTCGGCCTCTGCTAGGTCTCTTGCGGAGGGACGAGGCGTTGCTTTGTCGCTCGCTCAGGTCAACGCTTTATTAAAGCAGAAGGTGAGCAAGGCTCGCAAGCCTTTTTCCCTCTCGGCTTTACAGGTCGTGGTTGCTGATATCGCAGATTTAGCTGCAGATACGTACCGCATCCAAGCCCCAGTCTTGGCCCCTAATTCCGTTTCACTTGAAAGGGATCTGGATAAGTGGCCGGGACGCTGTGTTGACCAGGTTGTGATGGGGCCTAGGGAGCACTTTAAGTTGGAGCGTCTCCTTAGGCTGGCTCTCCATGTTCTGTCCTATGCAGACTGGTTTACTTCTGCGTTGCTTGCTGCGAGTTGCAAGTCGGTGGAGCAGCTCCCCACCAAGGTTGGACTGATGGAGCGCCTTAGCCAGGCAATTTGCAAGGCACATCTTGATGCGATGGCCTTACTGTCGGCTGCCATGTCACACCTTGTTGTTGCCCACTGTTGTCGGTCCTTTCTGGACTGCCAGTCGGCGATTCCTATCGAGCTACCCTTTTGGAGGCTACCTTGACTGGCGAGGATTTGTTTGGCGGGGTCCTTTCCTCAGTGCAATCTGAGATGAGGTCGGACCCGTTTGCGTCTGAGGATGCATGCCACAATTCTGCAGGCATGGGCGCTAGCAGGAAGAGACAGGCTTCTGGCTCCTCCAGGCGTAGGAGGAAGAAGTCAAAGACGGCTGCTTTTCAGCAGCAGGCTGCCCCTCCGACTTCCACTCCGGCGGAACGTCGGAAATCTTCCTTCCGCGGTAGGGGTTCTCATAGGGGTCGAGGCAAAGCCAAATATCCCAGAGGTAGGAAGGGTTCCTGACTCTTCCCTGCCCTTGGTAACTCCTTGTCCACTGTCTGTCGCCGCTCCCACGCCCTTAGGCGCGGGAGGCTCCGCTGATGTGGTTTTGGAAGGGCTAGATTGGCCCCTTCCGGACTTGCAAGTAGGCTGTCGGCTGTCCCATTTCGTTTCTCAGTGGAAGGAAATCACAACAGACAGTTCGGCCCTAGGGGTAATGTCCAAGGGTCTCTGCATCCCGCTCCTTCGGGATCCACCTCTGGCGCGAGAGCCTATCTTTTTCCCTTCTCCTTCGATCTGAAGGATGCTTACTTTCACATCCCTGTCAGGAGGTCGGCCAGGAAGTTCCTCAGGTTCACTTTCGAGCAGAAGGTTTACCAGTTGCGCGCTATGCCCTTCGACCTCACTACGCCCCCTTGGTTTTCACCAAGTTGTTGCAGGTAGTAGTGGGGCACCTCCACAGTCTCGGGGTAGATGCACACATCTTCTTCGACGACTCCCTGTTGCTCCAAGTGGATCCAGTTATCCTGTCCCGGACCACGAGGTCGGTTCTGGGCGTTCTGTGACGCCTAGGGTACATCCCTTCCAGCGAGAAGTCGGAGGTTCTCCCCTTCCAGGATTTTGTTTTCCTTGGTTATCGGTTTAGAACCGATCTGGGGTTTGTCCTTCCACCAGTGTCCAAGTTCGAGAAGGCCTCTCTGTTAGTCTCCGTTCTGGTCGGTGTAGAGCGGATTCAGGTTCGATGGTTCCTTCGGTTCCTCGGTTACCTGAATTCACTGGCGGATGTGGTTCCCTTGGGTCGGCTTCACATCCGTCCGCTCCAGCTGTTCCTTCTGTCAGTTTGGTCTCCGGTGTCTCGGCAGTGGGATGTGTACATTCCTCTACCGGAGTCGGTGAGGGAATCAGCTCGTTGGTGGACACTCGAGAGCAATGTCTTGGCAGGAGTTCCTCTGGTTCGGGCATCTCCTGCTATGACCCTTTTCACCGACGCGTCCATGACCGGTTGGGGTGCATACCTTCCGGTCAGACGTCGGCGGGGTTGAGGTCGGGGGAACAGCTTTCAGAACACATCAATGGTCTGGAAATGCGTGCTGTTCTGTTGGCCCTTCGGGGCCTTCGACCTTCCCTGCAGGGCAAGGCTATTTGTCTACCAATCTCGATGGTCCGCCTTCGTTGATTGGTGTGTCGGACGGTCGATTGATCCAGTCTCTGCCTCTGTTCCCGTTGTAACCGACTTTCTTTTGTCTCTGTTCCAGGACAAAGGTCCGTCCCCGTTAACTATTGCAGGCTATCGTTCAGCCATTGCTAGTGTGCTGGCTTTCTATGGTAGCAAGTCTGTGGGCTCGGACGCTTCATTGTCTGCTCATTAGGGCTTCTACATTGCGAAGCCTCGTTCACGGCAATTGGTCCCTAGGTGGAATTTAGCACTCGTCTCGGCTGTTCCAGTCTCTCCAGCCCGCTCGCTCCGATATCTCTGCGGCGACCATCTCGCGCTGGATTGTTCAGACTGTTCGAGCTGCGTATGAGTCGGCAGGGGATCAGTCCTTGCGGGTGTCAGGGGTTAGGGCTCATCAGGTTCGTGGTTTAGCTACTTCGTGGGTCTTATTTAATGGTTCTTCTTACGCTGAGGTCATGACAGCTGCTGTTTGGAGGGGTCATTCTACGTTTACGGAGTTCTATCTCCGATCTTTGTCGGGACAATCTGACGGGTTGTATTCTTTCGGCCCTCTTGTGGCTGCCCAATCCGTTGTCTGTCCTCCCTCTTTTTTTGCATAACCCTCATTATGTCTTCTCCGCGTGATCCGGAACGCTGGTCATAATCAGGCTCTGTGTCACAAAAGAAAAGGTATTTAGAATTTTTCCTCCGGGGGTATGGGTCCTATTGCTGGAACCCTTCATCGCTCAACTGAGACACCACTGCGGTAAGTCGAATTCGCATTATAATGACTGTGGTAACGTATTTTGAAATAGAATTGAGGTTTCTCTTGTGAAACCAATTTCTATTATAAATACTTACCACAGTCATTAGGTGAGTTCCCTCCCAGCCTCACCTTGTCTCCTTGGCTCTCACTTTTTTGGGCTTTGGAATTATGAAGTGGGAAGCATGGCTTCGTGGCTGATCACGTGCGTGAATACTGCCGTCTGATTGTTGGGTTTTCCAGGGGTTCCCTTTGGGGGAACAAAATCTTTATTTACGTATGTAAAGAGCAAAGTAAGGTTGGATTATGCATTATAATGACTGTGGTAAGTATTTATAATAGAAATTGGTTTCATAAGAGAAACCTCAAGTTAAGTCTGAACTCATTCCATGCAGTTATCGAAGAATCCACTCGAGTGTCACTGACGACAACACCGCCATGGAACCCCTTCCGTCTGGACACTGGGGAGGCTGTAATAGGCGTGACATTAGCAGACCCGGACGTGTACAGAGGGGATTACAGCGCGCTCTACCATGCAAAAGTCCTGAACATGTATATAGACGTCCTCGCAGCTTTGGGACAGTAAGAACCCTTTGATTTTGAGGATGTCAAAGCGATACTTTGGAGTTATAACGTTGTTATTAAGTATGAAATTCTACATTAATGTTTACGTATTGAACAAAACTTGAGACAATTTCCTCGATTAGAAGATAATAATATAGGATATTCAGAAAGGACAACTTTAATAAATTAAACAGTAGATCACTTTTATTTAACGCTTGCTAATATGGATTGAACAAATAAATATTTTCATTCTCATTCTGGTTATATTTATTCGATTTACTGCATCTTAACAGTCGCATCCAATGAAAGAAAAGTTCTTATAGCCATTATTGGCATGTGGGATATTTTTTAAAACAAAACACATTGACAGGGGGGAACTATATTAATTCTAGTCAGTTTGTAGCCATACGCGATCACATGGTTACAGCATGGTTACGATGATGAATATTAATAAAGGAATTTCGAGTTGTTAAATGCCAATATTGACCTCTGTCCACATATAGAGATCCTGACCTAACCAGTAACGTGTGGGCACGTGGAAAGCTGGCTCATTATGTCAGCAGTATTATGGCAGCACGTCAAGAACAGACTCCATCTTCCTTTTTTGGGTACAACCTGACTAGCATCCTGCAGGCGCAGCTTATCCTCTCTGAAGAATACTTCCGCGTCAACAGATTTGCACTGTCATTGATGGCCATTGCCTTATGCCAACAAAACGAGACATTTGGCCAGCAGTTTGAGGACATCCTGACAGCACATCCTGGCACTTATCTCTATGGAATAGGTAATATGACATATGTAAAAGGTAATGTAATGTATGTTATAAGTAATACACTAAATAAAATAGATAATGAAAGATAGAGAATAAATAATGTGGTATATGTAATATGCAAAACTTCATATTATAAAAAGAATTAGATAATGTTATAAGTCAGGTAGAAGAATATATAACAGAGGATTGACATGTTTGTTATACACTTAAGCCATCCAAAACATGCAACATATAATACATTTAATAGGTAACGTGACATTTATAATAGTTTATGTGATGTTTATAACAAGTAAAGATACTTGGTGAAGACGATGCCATACAAAGAATACATAATGTGGTATTAGTGATATGTAATGACACACTTTTTAACAGGTAAAGTGATGTGTGTGATAAACAATCTAAAGTATAGATTAGTTCGTGTGATATAATATGGGATTAAATGGAAAAGGTAATTCAACAACTATGTAATATTAGATATAAAAATATTTTGACATAATGCGATATATGTTATAGATAATGAAATGTTTGTATACCATAATGTAATATATGAAATAGGATATGTGGTACATGTTATATGTAAGGTGAAACGTTATGCAATAAATGTGAAAGGAAATAAGATATATGAAAGTAGTTGTTTGATATATGTAATGAATGATATGATATATGAAATGTTAATGCTTTGAAATGATATCGTGGATTTAAAACAGTATATAACTAACAAACGTCGTTACAATAATATGCAATAGCCCGTACTTTGTTTTGTTCCCAGATGAGGCATCGATGATTACTTTGGCATGTTTGTGCCTCAATACCCAGGGTTGCTCCTCTGCTGCCCAAGATGCCGAGAAGTTCGTATCGAAAAACCTTAAAAGCAGTCTCAATGTCTATTCTCTTGGCCTAGGATCACAGGTGAGATGCAAATTCAAGGTGAGGTTTCTTGGGTAAGTGACACAGGTAAGACCATGTAAAGCCCACCCTAGATATCCAGGGGTTACGCTCACTTTAGATCTCTGCACCTCTGGACTATGTCATAGCAAAATCGAGGATACAGTGTGCGGCACCTCGTGGATGAGACGAGAAGACTAGTTTAATCGTTTGATTTCAAATGAATCTTGCGGTCGCGTAACGACCAAATGTTTTGGTTTTGAAGTTGGACATCGCTCCTCTGTAATTGCAAAGGACAAGTATTAGCCTAGTGATTGGTCATTTTTTTTTTTTTACCCGACATCAATCAAATTGCTAGCCTTGTGCCTTCAATTTTGCCATGACATATTCCAGGGGTGCAAAGAGCGAATGTGAGCGTAACCCTGGATGTCGAGGTTGTGTAAAGCCTTGGTTGAGATAAAAAAGGAAGGAAATGTAAGATGACAAAATCGATATGATACAATTTATGCACGATGCTGAACTCATATGTAAGATGAAAGATTCAATGTAAACTTTTGGGACAAGTTTGTAAAACGAATTGTAGGACGACTGCCATTTTGATTTTGGTACTGACTTGGTTATGTGGAGGAAACCGGAATATCCATAGAAATTCCCCGTGGTTGGGCAGGTGATCGCATACCTTTTCACGTACGATCGGGTAATCGAAGTCCGGCCACTTTGGTGAACGGCAAGTGCTCTATCCACTACACCACTCGACCACTCTAATTAAATTATAATTAACAGACAATTTATAAAGAATTTTGTAATGTGTTACTCCCAGACCTATAATTACAAATAAGCACAAATGTGACATCATATTCTATATTCCAATATTTCTTAAGTCATTGTAAATATATAGTTTTTCTTTAAATTATGCAGGCTCTAATTGCTACTGAAAAGCCTGTATACTTGAGACAAATAAGGAATGCAGTATGTGCCATTAAACGCAAGCTTGATAGTAAGTATGGTATTGAAACGCAGTTATAATTGTGCTTACAGTTATCATTTTCTTTCTATGCAGTTGATAAACGGTGAGCGTCTCAGCTACAGAATGTGCGATGAGTATAATCTCAAACGTTTTGGTTTGTTTGATATCATGATTGCATTGATGAACATCATTTACAATTCATTCAGTCACATTGGACCTGTTCGCACAAATCCTTTCTATGTGGCCACAGCAGGCAGCGTTCTAATTTTGATATCATTGTAATCATAGTAAAAATGGAAAGGGTATAACCCTGGTAAACTTGGCCTTGAACTCATATACAGCGACCGAATTTGGATGTTTTATGTCAACTCTTAATATACTAAAATAGGCGAGAAAATGGAAGTAGTATAAATGACGTTACCCAAGCATTTATCTGATATGGTGCTGTAGAACACGATCTAACTATATCATATTTAAAGCATCAGTATAGACAGCTGGAACATAATCTACCATTTTAACTATAATTCTCATTATGTATTATGATTATTAGCATTACTTTAATGCAGTGACATACTCTTACATAATAAATATGCATTCAGCGCAATCAGGAGAGGGTTGCAGTCAGGTCGCTCAAGCGCGTTTGACCACATGACCCTCGTATTTGTCGAAATTTGCTCTGGTCTACTAAAAGTATTATGCAGATTTTGTTTGTTATCTCTACCGACACTCGTCCTGCGCTACGGAATGAGTATAACAAAAGTCAAAGTTTACGCCTACCTGTGTAATTTGTGTACTATTTCATTTCCACAAGATTGTACATGACAATAAAGATGCCACACAGTATGCTCTTCTTTGTTCCGCAAACGTACATAAACCATTTCTTATTTATTTAGCAAACTTATTTTCTACAATTTAATAGCATGCGAGTTGTGTACAGCAGTGTTTTGATTATAAAAAGGTTATACAAATTGCGACTTCATATTGGAATTCAGGAATACACTTCAAAGTCCAATCAATCAATCTAATACACATTCATGAAGTTCTTCAATCATAAAAGCAATAATTAGAAGAATACAGATAATATAAAAATACACAGTTAAACCCACTCTACAATATCTTTTATACTTTTAAGTAAAATGAATTATTATGAATACCAAAATAAGTCCGTACTGCTGTGTATGATCTCGTCGACTGCTTATACACGCTAAATACACGTGCGACCTGTGCGACACTATACCTGTATATTACAATTTAAGAACTAAGCTACAAACAAAATAAAATTCTTTTATGTTTACCTTCGTTCCTCATCCGTACATTTCGTATCTATAAAGCAATGATAACATAAAGAAAATACATTTTTGTCAATTTAATGGCATGCGAGATACGTGTACAGCAGTGCTTCGAATATCAAAGGAATAGGAAATACATTATCAGAGTTACGTACCAAGATTAGCAGAAACAGAAAATTTATGGTTAATATCGTCCTTCGTTTTCTCGTTTGCCCTTCTGCCATGTGCTTTGAACAGTTTTTCTGAAATATCGTTACTTGAAATATCTAGTCTTATTCTTGTCTTATGTTTTAATTATTACTTTTCACATTATCTTTACTATTCCTATGTCATGTTCCATACACTTTGTATTTATTAGCCGCTATAGTAGCACCCCAGCCCCCAGGCTATGCATATCGAGTTCTAACTTTTTTAGTCCGATTGCCGGAAGCGCATCTTGAAAAATCTCCCCAGCTCCAGTGTAAGAAAGTGCTTGGTTTCGACAGCATACTTTATAGATTATTGTTCACTTACAAAAAGAAACAACCCTGAAAAGATATGAATCGTTACCAAGGTTTAACTTGGCAGCTTTAATAGATTTTACGAAACTAGCAACCGGACAATTTTTTTATTCATTTTTCGCAATAAACACAACGTAGACTTGACGATAAAAATCTGTTTCACATTGAAGTATTGTGATTTCTAAATGTGGTTTTTTCTAAACGTAATTTGACATTGTTATTGCTACATACTGATTGACATATCTTATAAAAAAAATGAGCATTTCGTTTCCCTTACTGTTAACAGACACCGACAGAGGATTAATCACGAAGGACGAGTAGGCTCAACTGGGCTCTCATTTTTATCACTGTTTATAGTTAAAGCGACGGAGAGGATAAAAAACACGTCCGTACTGCTGTGTATGATATCGTCGGATGATAACACAAGCCAAATGCACGTGCGACTTGCTACACTACACCTGTAGTACAATTTAAGAACTACGCTACAAACAAAACGAAATTCATTCACTTATAACTGCGTTGTCTAGTTTCAGAGACCATGGATCATGGACTTGGTGTTTCACAAATTCTTCCTCCCTTTGCAAACAGATCGTTCCTTGACATCGTTCGCCTTCCACCTCTTGGTCAGTCACAGGGGCATCGTTTAAGTATACTGTAGTTAACTTGATAAAATCAGCAGTGTTGATTATTTGTAACTCTTCTCTTCTATCAACTAGACCATTACAGACGTTTGAAAATGACTGAGCGATCAGGATTAACCGTATTCTTACGATAAACAACAAGAGGATACCAAAGTGTCAGCAAAACCATAATCGATTAAACTAGGGCAAAATATGAGCAAAGGACAAAAACACAAGGCACGCGAATGAACATTATTAAAAGTGTTGACTTTTATATCACACACAGAAATAGTAGATTTGCCTATGATGACGACCATAAAACTTGTTCATTGTCTTTAGATATTATCTCAATACCTGACCAAGATGGTAATAACATTCCTTTAATTCGGTCTTTTTAGCCTGATTGATGTAATTAAGACAACAGTGAAGGTTATCTTTTTGGAGACTTTTCTGTATACTCACTATATATCACAAAACAGTTCCTTTATGTTTCTTCAGGGTTTTTAGTCAGTGGTCCGACAACTAAGCCAGTGGAAACGATACTAAGGATATTTTTCACAGTCGAAGACCCTATCATGACCAGTACCACCCAACAAGATAACGTTACCGTGGCTGTACCATTAAATCACACACTTCTACAGGCTATGCAAGCTTTTCAGGCCCAGCCGAACTCCTGCTTCAGGTATGTCAACGAAATAGTCTTGCATGTATGTATTGTAATTACATGATATATAACCGCATTGACTTTCCCAAGATCTTTATATATCTTTGTGTTTATGCGGTTTTAGCACATACCAGTATCCAATTAATTTGTTTACGAAAATAATTACTATACACCTTTAAGATAATGAAATACGAAACGTGTAATCTATTAAGGTTTCTCAAAATATAAACTGCCTTCCATTAATCATATTCAACATTTTTGAATTAAAAAACAAAAACCCGGTACTTTTCCTTTATTGAACATATGTATTCAGATGCATATATCTTATTATAAACTGCTTTTAGATTCAAAATAACATATGATATGTATACATTTCACGTTCAAAGGGAGATAACTTATTATGTTGATGCTGACAGTTCCATACAAAATTCATAACTTCCTTTTCATTGATGCCTGTAGCTTCGAGACCATTCAGACCAGTCTTGGACCTTTGGTTATCTCAATGAATGGTATAACAAGAGTTGAAAACAGCAATTTCTGGTTTATCCTGTTGGCTCCAGATAGGCCCCTTCAACAAGGTAATCGCCTGGAGAAGAAATATACAGTATAGCTTGTAATAGATTGATGTCTAAACAAAATCAAATTTGTTAAAATATTTGGATAACGCATATGTATGCTACATTCTTCTTAAGTTTTAACAAACAACTGCATTTGATACATTTTAGTATTGTGTCTATCCTATTCGTTACGTTTAATCTGTTTTAGTTACTGAATACATTAGCTGCGAGAACAAAAAGATTACCATGAACTCCAGATTTTAATAAATCAAACTATCGGTATCAAAACTGATAAGAGGTCTTAAATACGTCGTGTTAATCTTTACAAGCAATGACAAGCAGTTTAAAGAATATATCGAATCGTTTGTGTTAAAATTATTTGTAAAATATGGATGAATTACCTTTGCTTCATGGAGGATACCTTTTTTATTACAGGTGTTGCAGAAACCTTTCCCAAAAACGGAGAACGCTACATATTTAGACTCACTGCATTAAACAATCCTTAAAATGTACGTGCAAAACATATTGAAGATATGATATAAGTGCATACGATAGGAAACGTAAGATTAAAAACATAAATAGACTTGAACATTTCACTTATGTTTACGGAAATTCCTGTGAACGTGTATATATGTTAGCGGTATTCCTATTTTAGCGCTTTTCGTAGTTTCAACATTGCGCTAACTTACTATTGCGCTAATTCCGTTTTAGTATACAGTCTTCTATTGCATATTGCTAGAGCGCCAATTTATCAGCATTGTACATTTTTAAATTGTCCAGGTAACAGGGTATGCGAACACATATTTGTCCAGGTAACAAGGGGTACAAACAAAATATTTGTCCATGTAATAAGGTTTATAAACACATACTTGTTCAAGAATCATTTCTCCAGAAAACCAGTCATACAATTTCACCATATGTGATATGTTTCATAAAATATATACATATACATGTACTATAGTAAAATTTGGATATACTAACCGACTTCAAAACTAGCAGCTTTCACCCTTTACAGGGCTCTTCAGGATTGTGGAGGTAAAGTCAACTATCAAAAGACCGCTAAAGAGCCATGTAAAAGGTGGAAGCTGCTTATTTTAAAGTTGGTTGTTTTATCTTATTTTTTTGTATACTTGCCTATTTCACATGGACATTTAAGCTTTTTAATTAAATATATGTATATATTTATTTGGAATTTCGATGTGGCTTTGTCGTTATTTGCTTTCGTAAATAATTAAAATAAAGATGATGGAACTATTTCAACCTTTTTAATCAAAAATAAATTGCGAGAGATTTGACTTCATCAAATGTTTAAAGCCCGCGTTTTATTTGTAAATGACATTATTAATAAATTGTATTTCCCCTCCTCAGCTGATGTTGATCTCTTTTCATAGTTGTCCAAATGCATGGGAAGACATTTTTTCAATGTCTTTGTGGCGGTTTTTTGTTAACCCAACATTGACTTTTTATGATATGTACTCAAGAGTTAAAAGTTTCATGTACATTTTATTTATGCATTTTTATGCTTTATTTATAATTCGGAAAATTTCCTCAAATTTCAATAATAATAACTAAGTCACCCTCTGTGAGGGTGGCCTTTTTCATTCACAGTCCGTGTTGTGTCGTTTCTCGTTATAGTGAGTAGATGCATTAAAGGCAGCTAAGCCATTAGCTTAATCTATGCATCGGAAACACTAAACAAGATCATTTTGAATATTTTCCGAATTTTTGTGGATTTTTCTTTGCATAACATTAAGAGTTATGTCCCTTGTATCGTAGCCAGTAGTCCCCAAAGTATGAAGGGTCACGGGTCATCTGAGGATTATCTGATTGGTTAGTTAATTTCAAGGGGACGCTGAGACCTCTCTATCAGTCAACCATCTTAGATTAAAGCTGTGTTACCTATCCGATCCAGTAAAGTAAACACATTTATTTCTGCAAAATACCCACCCTCTACCTCCCTTTCGTTTTGTCCTCTTCTGGACAATACTACTGACTTACGGTTTTATTCATGATTTGGCGGTTTTTTGTTAACCCTACATTGGCTTTTTATGATATGTACTCAAGAGTTAAAAGTTTCATGTACATTATATGTATGTATATTTATGCTATATTTCTAATTCGGAAAATTTCCTCAACTTTCATAAATAAATACTTAGTCACCTTCTCTGAGGGTGGCCTTTTTCATTCACAGTCCGTGTTGTGTCGTTTCTTGTTATAGTGAGTAGATGCATAAACCATCTTACATGTACTAGTTTTTTTCACATGAGGTTGCGAATAAAAATCATTTGGAATCCCCGTTAATGTTGTTTTGTAATATACTTCTATGTAAAAATATAGACGTTACAAAAACACGATCGGAGTGTTTTGTGTTCAGGTGATATAATTAAGCTTTCAAAGGTAATATGAATGCCCTCTACAGTACAGGATAATTTCAATAGAAATAAATAGTATTGCTATGGTGTCATGGTGGAATCGTTAAACATCTCGACCAACAAATTCGAAACAAGGGTCCGTATTGTTTGTTTACGTTTAGGTCACATTCGTATTACTACTCATTTTGGAGTCTGATGTTCCGAGCAAAAAACTACATAGTGACACTGCAGCGCATATCTAAATATCCTTTAATATACAAAGGGAAGATATGTTGTAACACGTGACACGTGATATAATCAACTACATACATAACAAAGTGATTGTGTCCACATGACGTGATCCGCTACAAAATGATCAGCAATGTAGTCATGCAGTATGTATTTATACTACGCGTACACATATAACGACTGTCAACTTTATATACTTCCTGTCAATTTCGCTATCAACAGGTATTATTGCAAATTAGAAAGTGTTCAGTTTTTTCTTAATTCAAGGATAACTCAAAACAAATTTTCGAATAAAAGAAAGAATATTTAAGTTCTTTTGAGGAGTAGATTGAGGAAAACACTTCAAAACGAAGTTATGGAAGCGCACACTTTTTCTATTAATTGATCTACATTACTGAACGAAACTTTATTACGGTTGTAATATAACATATCCAAACGTGGCGAGACCGTTATAGGGTGATAACATCAATGACGTCATGACCAGAGCATGGCGTCCAAATCTATTCCTTATTTTGATACTGGAGTGGCCAGATATGTCGGGAATCACCCTAGAAATAAGAAAATAATTGAAACAGCTGATAGAAAAAAATATGAATTAATACCATAGTAACAGGATATAAAAAAAGTGTAAACGTCGCGTGAGTTTAAATCACAGTGTCACACTCCTGGGCTTGAAACTTTCAGTGTATGTTTACTCAGGTATGAAATACTTTTAGGCTTGAACAGAACGTAGCGTAAATGAGAAGGTCACATCTTTCTACAGTGTCTAATAGATAGTTCCTCAGACAGTGTGTCAACAAAAGACGTTTTCATTAAGAGACTTAGACAAAAAAACAGAACAGTTGTTTATCCAGCTATTATAAATTAGCTTTCGGAATTATGAGTTATTCATGGATATAGCTAAAAGGAAGCATAATCAGGTCTAAAGCTAAATCGATAGAAGAAGGAGAAAACCAACTTATCACTTTTTTAATTAAGAAAACAGTAATTTTACATCCAAAATTATACCAAAAATAGTATAAGAAAATAAAACTTTACTTTCTGACCAAGTAGACATTCGAAATGAAATTGAAATATTTTCTGAAAAGGGCCGGTTTCCAAAACGGCCCCTTCTCTGATTCAAATTTCCTGTTGGTTTGTTTTTTATGGCTCCTCAAAGTTGTACCTTTCAGAAGCTGTCTAAGTGTTGATAAAATGTGCATGTTATGTAAAATATTAATGAAAATCTAATCAAATGATGGTCACCGTAAAGAATACATTCATGGCATGATTGTGACAAAAAATCATGTTTCCATCGCGCTATTTGGCTGTTTTATGGAAGAAACAATCTCAAAAATGCCATTTTCGATGATAACATTTTAGACACAAAAACTGTGTTTTTTAGAGAATACACCCTTTTATGGGCGTTGGATGCAAACCAATTTTTATCCTATTAAACAGTACGTAATATGCTATTGATGAGAGGAAAAATCATCAAAATGTAAGTGGTGGAACATTTTCAAATGTTGGGTTGAATTAGCCTATGGTTGAATTGCCGATTTTCGACTTTCTTTAGATAATTAACAAAAAAACGAGAGTATTTGCTCGGTATGTTGAGAATATGTACACAGATATGAAAAAAAGTGAGAGAAACACTTTTTCATAAAAAAAATCCAAGATGGCTACTTCACAAGTCCCCGTGGTTGAAGACATTGGCTGACAAATAGACAGAACAACAAACAAAACGTGTTCCTTATGATTTTGGTTGGTTTTCGCATTTACGGGAGTGTTCATAGCTACGGGCGATTGTATAATACCTATATTTATAAGTTTGGTTAGTCACATGGTAACGGGGATCTTTCATATCGAGCCCCAAACATACTTTCGACATATGCACTCCGTTGCCGCATGGAAAACTATTTCAAGTTTTGTCGGAATTTCTTTACCTGTGGTTGTAATGGTCGAGGGTTTTCCAGCGTCCTGTAATACCCAAGGTAGTACAAGATACTGGAGATGTGCGCACACATTCCCATCGTTCTCTCTCCAACTGGGCACTGGCAGTAGTAGTCCTTTATTGGGGCCTCAACATCGGGTGAAACGGTGAACCGTATCCAAACGTTATATTTCGTTTGGCTTTTGTGTCGAGAATGTATTTGACATCGGAGAAGGTCTGGGGAGTGCTGGTAAAGCCACACCTCATAGTCTCCGTCATCACTTAAATGTTCGGCGATGTAACCAGGAGCCAGAGATATCTGATACGTTCCACACGTAATGGTTCTCAAGTAATCAAGATCGAGACGGGGAAACAGTACGGAAGATGCATCCATCTTGACAAACTCGGACCTTGCCCGTCTAGATAGATCCGGATCTGTCTTGACTCTCTGAGCTAAACCATTCGGTGTTGTCAAACGGTCCTTCATACGTTCAGCCATTAGCCTATCTTTGGCATCTCTCTCTGGAGATCTCTGGTAGATCGGTCCTCTAATACCATTCAGACAGGCTGTGACGGTTCGAAGCAAAGCCTCGATGACATTGATAAAGCTGTTAGACACCAATTGCGTTCGGAAGAACGTCCAGTGTTTCAGACGACCATGATAGGATTCCACAATCCACCTCGATTTGGTGATAGTTCTGTCAAGATTTGCTTGGACGTCAGAATGTTGACTTTGACCGGGTTTCAGGTATGACGGCATGCTAGCATTGAGGCCAGAGGCTTCGAGAACTGGTAGGACATCTCTAAAACCTCGGTCAACGACAACGTTGTCGTCTGGTTGTAGCCAAGTAACTAGCTTGTCCATGACTTTTTTTGTAATTGTAGCATCATTTTCGCTGCCAGTGAATGGTCCTACTGTGTCCAGAATGTAGCCATCTGGTAAGGCGATGCTCATGAATTTGAGATAGTTTCTCTTCTTCTGGCCACAGTAGGACATTCTCTGGAGCTTGTGGTCGGAGCTTTTCTGGATATAAATATAGGTGCCATCTAATATGGCAGTGGCTTTATCTCCAAAAAATGCTTCTGAAAAGACAGTATTGTGCCCGAGCAACTGTTCTCTTGTCAAGTGATCCGGACCTAGAAATTGTGGGACTATCGATGTGTCTAATGCCTGTACTATGGAGTGGAAAGTTTTGGACACACTTGACTTGGAAATTCCAAAAAGAGAAGAACACTGACTCCAGGAAATGTCGGTTTTCAGTTTTACCCAGAACAGTAATAGAGCATCGTGTGTAGTCTTGGTATATATACCAGATGAAAGATATGGGGAACAGTGCGAGTGGATTTCGAGGAACTGATCTTTGGACCAACCTGTCCAGGCCATGCATGCCGAGTCATCAAGAGAAGAAAAGCTTATTGTAAACGCAGACTGGTTCTGTGAAAGGACGTGCGACACCTCTAGGAGGTCATTAATGATTTCGGACGATTTTGATGGTAACTGAGATTCCAAGGAACCTCTACCATCAAGGACAACCTCTGTAGACGGATCTAAGTCGTTACCAATAAGGTGAATGGAGCAGACGCGGGATGAGGTGGGACACCACAGTTTGTGTGAATAGATCAGGTGATGTCTTGCACGTTTTGGTAAGACTGATGATTTTGTTCCATTTCTTGCAAAGGTAACAAGACAGAGACAGCATTTTTTGTGTGAAGATGATCCATTCAAAAGATCATGAAGGGTCAGCAACGGCAGGATATGGGACGGGGAGTCGTCTTCTTCCTCTATTTCCTGGTTCTGCTCGGGTTCAGGTTCAGGCTGATTTTTGTTCCGAAGATACTTCATGTAGCACTTCTGGCAAATAAGTGCTTGTTCCTTTGCTGACATCAATCCTTGTTGCACCAGCGTATCTAGGAGCCATTTATATTGTGGACTATTTACATTGCGTGCACTTCTGTTCTTATTGCCACTACGTTTCTTGAAGTATACTTGACACCCTTCTCCAACACATTTACCCTCCATCTTGAAACAATAACGATTGGTTTATGAAGCGTCGATAAAGTAACAAAATAGCAAGCCACCGATGATTGCTGTAAACAGCTAATACTTAGTAGTTTGGTACAATTATGCGAAAATGTGTGATAAATAACGAACAACTAATTACACAAAATAACAAGACAATATAATAAATCACATTCAATACCTCCAAGAAGCGCAGAATTGATTGATTACTTAGAACAAAATAAAGTATTTCATATGGATAATCTATCTATTCGATGTGGCGTGGTCGGCAGGCACAAAGAAAGTGAGACAAGTCAGGGTCCCAACCCTGACAGAGCCACAACGCTTTGGAGATGGGACAATAAAACAAGGAAAGTGAGACAAGAATAGCTAGCGTCGAGTCAATGATTCCGTAAACGTATAGACAAAGACAAGAAGATACGGATAAATGTACAAGGCCACACGATCAGAAAATTCAGAAGAGGACAACTTGAGATAGAACAGTATTCATGTATCAGGGTGTCCTCAGTGTAAATCTTTATATCGATACTGTTTATTTAGTCGTTACACATCATAAAACTGTCATGAAAATATCCGCTCTGATATTCAATATAAAAGTTTGTATATAATAAGCTATATAATAGGGTTTCAGACAAGGTTGTTACTCATTTCCCCTTTTCTTTCAATTTACAACCACATTCAGGCGGCGATATGAGAACGTTCCACCACATGGAATTAGCTGATTTTTGGTACACATATGAAACAAGTAAAGCTCTATCCGATTTTCTGATGGAAATTTGCATCCAAAACTATATAACGGGAGAAAATTGCAATTTTATGGCATTTTTCTTCATAATTGTGTCTCTGCAAGTGCATTTTCATCCGAGATTTTTTTTTTTATGTTTTATGAATAAACACGATGTTTTGGAAATATTTATCAAAAGAAATTTATACTATGTTGCGAATTACAATTTCGAGATAACCTTCTTTTATTTACGAACTTATGTCTTTGATGCTGAAATTGACAACTTTATAAAAATACATTTTCACTGAAATTATGAAATCTGGGTGTCGGAAAGGTGTAAAATTATTCTTCGAAAAAGAAAAAAACAGTAGTTGAGCTAGATAAGAAATTATACGGGGGCAGGCTCCTATGGAGAATTAACATTACTGGAAACAGGCCCTTTGTATAATAATGATGAGACTATACTATAGAGGAAGTTAGCTAAACAATCTATTTGAAAATGATGAAATTCCCAAGTTTAATGTTACAGAATCTAAAAACTTAGAAGGTCTTATATTTTAACTGAGGCATTAAAAACTCATAACATGAAAAAGAATATCAGTCCTGGCTCAAATGGATTCACAGTTGAGTTTTTTTAAGTGGTTTTGGAAACAGTTAGGTACTTTTGTAGTAAGATCTATTAACAATGGTTATGAAAATGATAAATTATCTGTCACTCAAAAAAGGGCATAATTTATTATTTATTACGATCTTCTCGAGAAAAATAAAAAAAGCACTGCATAAAAGTGTTGCAAGAAATCAAATGCGTAACTGTTTGTTGGTATTATGTTGCTTATTAGTCGGCCAAGCACAAGGAAAACACAATGTCGTCAATTTGTGATTATACAGTGGGTAAGAGCGGATTTTTAGAATATACTATACATGCTCTTGCATACACAAACGTTGGAATATTTTTCTAAACATTTCTTTTACTGATGCATTCATGTATTTTTGGACCGTAGCGGTAGCACAATATATAACTTTGCAACAGAAATAACCCGTCACAAACACTGGATTGCGAGTTCATCTGTCATCATTCCATCATCAGCATGTTTTCATTTCACCTCAGAATTATCTCCCTTCACTCCCTGACTCACTGTTACACAGGAATGAAAATGTATCTATTTTTTTCATTTTGCGCCGGCGTTCATTGTAGTTAGCATCTGCTTTTATATCTTATACAAGTACATTTCTTGTTAGGCCTGTGAGTGCCCCTCCAAATTTGGTTAAAACTCCTGTGTTACTTACTAGTTTTAAGGAGTCATACTGATTGATCAGTGAGCATAACTTCGCCATGAACTTTCAATGCCAGGAAGGTGGCACCCTCATATTTGGTTATAACTGGTAAGTCAGTAATATTACACCAGGATATAAGAACCTACGGAGAATTCCATGTGTATATTTGGCTAGGTACATGCGACCTAACAAACGAAGCCAAATCTTTTTATATTTCCTTATCCCATGACTCTGATGCTGCATGTGAGGGGTTTGTGAAGGAGCGTGTTGATAAGATCAACACTTTCTTAGCCCAGTTTTCAACAGTTTCGGTAACTGTTTTGGTGTTAAGCTATAGAATCAGTACAAAGGTGACAAACACCCTAAAGTATCTTAACTAGAAGAAAGTGTACTTATTCGCAGGGAATATTTCATGAACAGTTACTTACAACAAGTGAATCGAATTGCTGAAGTGAGCTCAATCCGTTTTCCTTTGGACATGCTCAAATACTCTAGAGCCCAACGCAGACCGTATGCTTGTTTTAATTTATTCAAAAACGGAATCGATCATATCCCTATATTAGCAAGTAGCTGGATGAAGAGACTTCTTTTATGCTATGGCTGGCAGCATTCATACTTTTGATCAACCAGAATAAGGGACATGGACAGAGGCAGATCTCCTTAGATCTCCAAACATGCTATTGTTGTCATGGACGACGATACCCAGGCTCGTAGGTCTAGGACAAGTTCAGTGCTTGAGGAGAATACCTCATTACATGAAAATTCCAAGCTCCAAGCCGCATAACATCGCTAAGGTGCCTCAGTTTTCAGGCGAGTCACTGATGTAGGATGATGTAGCATACAGAGATTGGCGATATGAGATCCGTTGTTTAATGATAGATCCAGTTATCACTCAAAGCATGCCTGTGCAGCCCATATGCCCTTTGCTTCGTGGAGTTCCGAATCAGGTTCTTATTTCGAATAGCAGCCTGCTAAGGTATCACATCCACTAAAAACTCTTCCATCACTGACCATTGTTCCATTCCCTGGTAAGTTAGTGTGAGAGCATTAACCTGTCTAATTTTATTTAAATGTTAAATGTAATTCATAGAGGGACACTTGAAATCGTACACGTAACACGTCAATATCTCAGCATTTTTATGCAGTAAACTTCTCTAAATTTCTAATACTTAGTAACAGTTTTTGGCAACGGTGCTGGGATCCTTAAGAGCTTAACTGATGTCTTGCAACAACGCTGTCGTGACTTAGTGTAAGGGAATTTGGTCATGTATATGTATATGGCAAACAGGTATAGACGACTTCCGCTGACAGAGGAGAAACATATGGCCTTACACAGGCTTTCATAATTCTAGTTTTAGGCAAACGAACATAGACAGCAGGAGATATGGATGTGTTAAATACTGTGTTGATTGTACTGCACGTTTGTTATGGAGGTACGTATTTAGATATATCTTCAACTTCATAAGGAAATAACATATCAAGTTTGTTGTTTATGTCAACAATGCCTTTTCAGATTGATTTAATCATTTAATCGAGAACCTAATCATATACTGATATCGATTACTTATATCGAGAAAGAAACGGATGTTAATGATTTTGTCAGCGTTAACAATAATTCTCTTTTTTTTTGTAGTGCAGACATATGTGTATAACGAAGGAATTTAACTAGACTATAAATGTATTCTGTTTGCAGTTATGTCGCTTTCCAACAGAGCTCAGACCAGTTCAGGCCGAACAATAGCGTCCTACAACCACAGGCACTCATTGAGTTTAGGTATGTTGGCATGTTGGTATCTGAAGAGGGCTTCAATTAGTTTGATACAATACATGAAACGTTTTTGATAAAGAATAATGAAAAATCAAATATCTCAATTATGTGTATAGATGTTCAAGAAAGAAGTGTTAAATTTTCTTCTAAATATTGCTTGATTGCTTTCGAGCGATATTGTAATGTTGTTTACATATTGTTGTTGCGTTGAATCTGTGTTGTCTTGGTTTTGTTTTATACTATAGCGTTGTTGTGTTGGACCTGTGTTGTCTTTTTTCAATTCTATATTGATATTGTGTTGAATCAGTGTTGTGTTGTTTTTGTTTTTCTATATTGTTATTGTGTTGAATCTATGTTGTCTTGTTTTTATTACTGTATTGTTGTTGCGTTGAATCTGTATTGTAACTGTATTATTTTGTTACATATTGTAATGTTTTGGGACTGTGTCGTTGTAATGTTGAATACGAATGTTTATTTCATTAGACATAGTTGTTTAAGTGATTGATCAGTACGGCCACTTCATATTTTGAACTATATTGCTCAAGTATCGTATTGCATGGTCAATTTACTTCTTTGTACTATATTGTTGTGATATTGAGTTTGTATGTGCATTGCTACTTTTGCCCTGTATTGTTTTACGGTTTGATCTGTTTGGTCACATAATTGTCTGGTACTTCATTTTTTTCGGTGTTAAAGCCGCATGGTTCTTTTATGATTTAAGCTTTGTATTATTTGTTTAGTAATTTACGGTTTTGTCTGTGTACTATCTGTTTTTAGTATATGGTTTAGGCTATGTATTATTGTTTTGTAATATATGTTTTTTTCCTTTTTGTTTAATTGTTTTGTGATATATGGGTTTGGCTTTGTTATATTGTTTTGTTATTGATGGTTTTGTTTTGTGTTTTTGTTTTGTAATATATCGTTTTAGCTGTGTTATATTGTTGTTGCAGAAACAGCTCAGTCACATTATTGCTAAGGTAACTTATTGTTTGCATCCTTTAAAGTTATTTGTTATACCGCTTTTCATGACCTAAACGCTCTTAAAAAATAATGATTATGAATTAACAACACTTCAAAAATCCATGCATACATGTAACATACAACAAAACGCCCCTAAAGGATATATTTTACAATGCAATAACTTTAATATCTATTTCGAAACACGCAAACACACGTATAACACGTCATTTAAATGAAATATAAATGAAAATGATATAAATATTCTGTCATGAATTGAAAATTATACAGTAGAATGGCAAGCTGTGACAATAGTTAATTCATCAAGCAATAGCTAGTAAATACATTAGTTATGAGTGAGACATAGAAGCATTACTAACATTTGTAGATTAAATTGTTAACACAGTACACATGAAGCCATTGTTATCACGTTACACACTTCTTGCCACGCGTGAATCTCATCTGCATTATTATGTACCGGACGTTTAGGCCTGGGTTATACTTGTGTTGATTGATGTCGTCCTCGTGTCATGTGTGCTTTGTTTACAGACAGTTGCTACGGAACATTTGACATTTTTTCTTCTTATTAAGTTATCGCGGTAGTGACATGAATATTAAGAAACATATGCAAATGTATATAAACAGAAAATATGAAAATATATATCAAAATGGCGGAATATGTGACTGTAATGGTATTATATACACGTTGGTTTAGTTACCATTCGGACAACGAGTAATGCTTACTGCATACCAGGTATTAAAGAAAACTACATCATTTATCAAAGATGACATTTGTTTTTTCTCATGTTTAGAAACATTTAAATGGACATTGTTTTTACATTTAAAGATATGAGTGACGCAATGATGCAAAAAAGCAAAGAATTTTATGTTTAACAATTATGTAAATTGTAAACTCCTACATGTCCATGAAACAGTGACAAATACGGCAAAGTGTTATAGGGTCACCCACACACTGTCATATCCACGTAATGAGGAAAAGCCTATTCAGTTTTGCAAACTGCACGCCATTTTGTAAGATAGAAAGCTCACGTAGAACATCGTCTGTCATCAATCGTCCGGCGTACGTCGTCGTTTTCACTTAAATGTCTTGTTTTGTTATGACCCATCATGCGTAAAGTGTTAAAATTAAGTAGAGTATGCAGATTACTGATGTTAAGAGCTATCAAATTGGTTTTAAAAAAACTCTTGTTTCATTTTCAAGGTCACAGGGGTGAAATAAATTAAATAATATTCAATCTTGCTAGGAGTTTGATCTATCAAAATCGACAAAAATTGATCAAATTAGTGATCTTGAAGTGATTTCCAAGGCACGTGGATTCAAAAACTTACACACTTTGTGGTTTGTGACCTGATAGAATAGAGGAATGTCAACTTATTTCAAATGAAAAAAATTGATTTACCATGAAAGTCAATGAGGTCAATTTTGTTAAAAAAGTTCAAACATCTTCCTCTTAAGATCAATATGTCCTAAGATTAGTGATAAACGGCAACATGACCCACTTGCAAAATCTTGATAATTTTATTTTTCTCTGAAAACTGCTTTTTCACGCAAAATATGAGAGAAGTTATAAAATTTGTTTTCACTATAAATTTGTAAGATGTTTATATAAGGCGTGTTTTAAAAGAATTAATCCACAAACACCATTCAATCAATCATACTACGTCATTCCAACAGCCATATATGTACATGTAGTTCAGGGCTCCAAAATTAAACATATATTTCTGAAATAAAGTGAAAATATTTGCCGTGTAGACATGTATATCAACAACAGTTTGCAACTATAAAGTATCATCATGTAGCCGAGTAATAAATAGTACTTATGATTGATTTAATTATTACAAGGTTTATTTCAATGTGCTTAATTTAAATTCCTCATTGATTGATAAGTCTTCGATACACTCAGACATCTAATAATAAATTGCCCTGAAGACAAATTTAGGATAAGCTGGTCTCATAATCCTTATAATTTGGGACAGACTTAGCCGCCATCCAGACCGGATCGTATCATCTCCTCAGAGCCCGGACAGGTTGGCAGTGGGCACCACGCACTAACGCAGAGGCTATAATAGGCCTGACCCTAGCAAACAACCGCTGGTATCATAAAGACAATGCAGCCACGTACATTTCTATACAGGCTATGGAAATGGAACTCCTCGCTCAGTTATCGGTGTGAGTAATTTATCATTTCTAAAACGACTATGCTGTTTAATTGGCCATACCTAAATAGTTAAAATTATAAGGATAGGTTTTCATTTAATTTTACACGCACACATACACACATACCACTTCACTTCTCGAAAACATGTTTTAAGACATATGTAATGAATCGCATATATTATTCATTAACTAAAGACAGATTTCAATGAGGAGTTTAAATCGATACCTCGATGTTGTGCGGTTTTTAAAAAAAATAAAATAATAAAAATAAGGGCAGTCTTTTTGTTCAAGTCTGATTTGTTTCATGCTAAACTAGTATTGCCACCAGGGGAACAAAACAGGAGAGTATGTCAAATTCAACGTGAAAAATCGTTCCCATCCGTGAGTTGACATTTTTAACGCATGCGTTATGATGCTATTGTATTTTCGACGGTTTTATCTCACACATGTAGCCACCTGTATCTGTTAATTATAACTGTGCTATTGTACGTTGAAATCATTTATGTCATTACATTACAGAAAACATATAACTTTAAAACGTTTTGCACTTTGTCAGAGACAAGAAGCTCAAGGATATACGATGGTCAAGGGGAAAGTTAGCCCAATACGTGACGGCATTGCAGCTAACGTGTCACAATCCTTCCAAATTCTTCCGCCACAATCTTCTACGGCTGCTGAAAGGACACCTACAGATGTCAGAGACTTTTTTTCGGGCGAACAGATTTGCTCTGTCCTGGATTGTTATTTCATTGTGCAATAACAAGAAGGCGGTAGGCAATACGACACTGGAAATCATCAATGACAGTCCGGGGGAGTATAAATTCGGTGTTGGTAAGTACGAGACACGGACTTTGTAATAATGGAAACAAAACAGTTATATTGATGTTTGGGGCAAAGGTATTTTGATATCGGTATTGGTAATACAAATACGGATTTCTGCAAAAATAAATGTTTTTCTTTTAATATCTGCCCACCCCCCTAAGAATATATGAGATATAAATTTGGAGTTGCTAAGACCAAATGTTATAATACAAATGGTAATTATAACCAGACATGAAGAACTGTGGAACCTGATACCGTAGCACTTACTATATTTCAATAAAGCATTTTAAATAAGAGTTTTGTTTTCAACTTCAAAAATATTCCATACACATTGTATAAGGATGGACATGCCTCTTTTTAACATCTATATTGGTCTCGTTCATGTACGGCAAACAACAACAGACATTTTTGAGGGAATTAGATCGTGCTTTCTATGGCTACTAGTTCCGTCAACGGTAGACGTCATTTGGAAGCCATTTGTTTATTTTTGTCATGAATTTGACGTCACGTCGTGACAGGTTCCCGATTTCACAAACAGTTAACGGTAATACCCGAACAGTTTCCGATTTGATAACATTACTGTGCATTAATTCTTTCTTCATTGGATTGTAACATTTTTGATCGGTAGATTTATTTAACGACCGAACCAAGCAAATGTTACCGTTACATTACAAAGAACGTACGCATTGCATATGACGTTGCAACGGTGTGTGAGGTCATTTCTTTTCCAAATAAGGCTTTCATAAAAGTAATAGGTTATTAGTTGATCACCAACCTCTGCATTATATGTGGTATAAATAGCTTGTGATTATCGCTGCGGCTACGCCTATGACAGGAGGGGTTAAAGTTGTGAAAGGCATGTGTGTCATATTTTACAGGTTATTTCTTTTGACAGTTTGGAAAGTTATTATCCAAGATGTCAGTTAAACGGTTAAAAATGTAGCACAATCCGTGGTACTCAGGATTTGAAAGAAAAGAATCCAGAACATAGTTTATCCCTTAACAAAGTATGTTAAGATAATATCAATCGTAATGTGGTCATCAGATCACTTGGTATTACATTGAAGTTGCATTGTCCTTCAATTGTTAGTAAAAAAGGGGAATTAGAAACAGCCTAACAAACCAGTTGCCTTTCAATAGAAAAGGTCATACATACATGAGATATCAATTTCACGTCAATCAATAGCTACTGGCAACGTTATCCGCTTACAGAGAAACAGACATGTTTAAATATCCATCGATTGTCTTTACGTTAGACATACACGATTTATTGTTTCTTCGAGCCTCATATTTCTCGAGTTCGAAACCCAATTCAAACATGCTTATTCAATGAGAAAAAATACGTGTTTCTCTACCAAAAGGACAACAAATAGTTGTTTGTTTGTTTGTTTGTTTATGTTTAACGGCCCATCGACGGCTGTGGTCATTTAGGGCCATGGTGATTTATTTATTTATTTTACTTTTTTAACAAACATGTGAATAGCGAAGATAAAATCAGATAAAATGGTTCAGTTTAAAAGTATTCGCATTGTATGTGTAGATAATAAAAAAAAATAAAAGGGGGTTAAGATAATAAAAGAGATAACGAATAGATGATATGGAATATGCGAGATATATATAACGTCAAAAATGATAAGGTTGGTTAAAAGACATCAGAGTCTATAAAATAGACCGATGTCTTTCAAATAGTTAAATAATGCCTTCGAATCCACGGAACTGAAAAGTGTTTTCATATCCGGGACTCGGAAGTAGTTATCACGAATGTGTTTAAAGTCGGAACATTCTATTAAAAAATGCTCCACTGTAAATGGAGTGTCACATGCGTGGCATGAGGGTATATCTTCTCGTTTTAAAAGGTACGAATGAGTAGGATATGTGTGCCCAGTTCGGAGCCGAGCGAGGACAACTTCCTCTCTACGATCTTTCCGACTGGGAATAGATGTTTTAAGTTTCGGTTGAATCTTAAAAAGTTTGTTGTTGGTCTCCAGAGACCAGCGTTTCTGCCATTCATTTTGAATGGCTGTACGAATAGTAGGTTTAAAATCTGTGTATGGTAGTTTGATATTTGTTTGTTGGAGATTCAATGCATTTTTTGCTTCCCTGTCAGCAAATTCGTTGCCTTTTATTCCGACATGGCTCGGAATCCATAGTAAAGTTATTTTAGACTTTTTTTTAGCATACGAGATATTCGAAGAGCAAGGTTTTGTACGATTGTGTTTTTAGGATCTCGTAACTGTAAACTCTGTAGGACAGATAGAGGGTCTGAACAAATAATTGCCTTTTTAATGCGGTGTTCATCGATATGGTCGAGGGCCATACCAATGGCGCATGCTTCAGCAGAAAAGATGGAGGCGCCATCTGGTAGTCGGACTGAAGTGCAAGTATTGGCAGTACAGCAGGCTGCTGCCACTTTCTCATCTTCTTTGGAGCCATCGGCGTAAAGTTGTGTATGAGAAGGGTAATTCGAAATGCATTCCCGAAAGGAGGATTTATGTTCTTCGGGCATAACACTTGATTTCCCTCACTCATGTAATGTAAAGTTAAAAGGGGTTTGAATGGTCCACGGAGGAACATCAGATATGTTAAATTCAGCTATGTCCGTCAATTTTATGTTGAGTTCTTGCAGGAAATTCAAAATTCGGATACCAAATGTTGGCAGAAGTTTTTGGTTTTGCGTAAATATGTTTTGGTATTTGGGGTTGAATACTTGGTTGAAAGCAGGATTTTTAGGGTTTGATTTTAATTGAGTTGCAAATTGTAATGAAAGTTTTATTCTTCTGTCATAAAGGGATGGTTCATTTGCTTCCACGTACAGGCTTTTTACAGGTGTTGTTCGAAAAGCTCCCAGGGCAAGACGTAGCCCTTGGTTATGGATTGGATCTAGCATCTGAAGGTACGAACTGCGCGCTGACCCGTATACCATAGAACCATAATCCAGTTTTGTTCGAATAAGTGATCTGTATAGGCGCAAAAGCATTTCACGATCCGCTCCCCAATCAGTATGAGAAAGGACTCGTATAATGTTTAACGCCTTGGAACACTTATCCTTCAGATACTTTATATGTGGTATGAAAGAGAGTTTCGAATCAAAAATGAGGCCGAGAAATTTAGTCTGTTCAACAACAGGAATTCTAGTGCCATCGAGTGTTAGATTTGGGTCATTGTGTGCTTTTCGTTTTTGACAGAAATGCATGCACACAGTTTTGGATTTAGAGAATTTGAAGCCGTTTTCGTCTGCCCAATTTTGTAGTTTGTTTAAACTCTGTTGAAGTTGTCGTTCTATCGTGTGCATGTTCTTAGATCTGTAACAGATCAAGAAGTCATCCACAAATAACGACCCTTCTGTTGATTGACCAAGACATTTGACTATATCATTGATTTTAAGACCAAACAGTGTGACTGATAGGATTCCACCCTGTGGGACTCCCATTTCCTGTTTAGACGTTTCAGAAAAAGTTGAACCAACACGGACTTTGAAGTGTCTATCTGATAGGTAATTAGATATAAAATTGGGAAGGTTTCCACGTACGCCAAGGTCGTGAAGATCTTTCATGATGCCATACTGCCATGTAGTATCATAGGCCTTCTCAAGATCGAAGAACACAGCGACAAGGTGTTCTTTCTTGGCGAAAGCCTCTCGAATGAACGTCTCTAATCTGATGAGATGGTCATTTGTCCCTCTTCTATTTCTAAAGCCACTTTGAAGAGGGGATATTATATCGTTGGCCTCAAGAAACCAAACCAGTCTAGTGTTTATCATTCGTTCTAAAGTTTTACATACACAACTAGTCAGAGAGATAGGACGATAGTTGTTTGGGTCAGTAGCATCCTTTCCCGGTTTTGGGATAGGTATAATTGTGGAGTTCTTCCACGAATCGGGAATCTTTCCGGAAGCGTAAACTTGGTTGAATATGTAAAGAAGGCATGTTAGTGAAGAGTCCGGTAAGTGCTTTAGAAATTGATATGGAATATCATCAGGACCTGAAGCAGTGTCCTGTGATTTTCTAAGCGAATCAACAAGTTCTGGTAGGGTAAATTGTTCATTATAACTTTCTTTGTTTGATGATTTGAAATTGAGCCGTTTCTTTTCTCTCTTTTTTTTCAAAGACTGGAATTTTTGGGAGTGGTTTAAAGGGGATGAGTTTTTAGCTATGTTTTTTGCAAATGCATCAGCAATTTCAGTTATAGACGAGAAAATTTTGTTTTTATTAATGAGGTGGGAGGATGTTGCCTTTTTCTTTTTCCCACTTATTTTCCGAATCATATCCCATACTTTTTTTGAGGACGTGTTTGATGATATCTTGGATACATATTCTCTCCAGCTGTTTCTTTTGTCAATTTTAATTGATCGCCGAGCCTTTGCCCGCCAAATTTTAAATTCACTGTAGTTTGAAGCAGTTGGGCAATTGAAGTAGCGTCTTAGAGCAGCTGCCCGATTACTGCGTGTTTTAAAAGATTCTTCAGATAAAAGGAACTTCGTAGGTTTTGGAGCGGATTTTGGAATTGTCTTTTGGGCAATAGAAGTGAGTGTTTCAGTAAAAGTTTTGATAGGGTCGTCGAGGTTAGTAAAATTGTCTATGGTTAGTTTTTCAATGCACATGTGTTGGAATTGGGCCCAATCTGCTTTGTGCATATTCCATCGAGGTAGAGGATCATCAAGAGGAGTCCCAATATTCTGAAGAAAAATTGGGAAGTGGTCACTCCCACAAAGATCATCATTTACCCTCCAGTCATAGTCAAGTAAAATGGATGGATGGCATAATGATAGATCAATGTGGGTACGAGAGCCTGTAGCAGGGTGTAAATAAGTAGGGGTATTGTTGTTAAAAAGGCACAAGTTGTTTTTATCTATAAATTCCTCAATACGTCTTCCTCTCTCGTCTGTGTTGGGAGAGCCCCACAGGCTATTATGACCATTAAAATCACCGAGGATTATGAATGGTGTTGGGAGCGGGGAGACGAGATTATTGAGTTGCTCACAAGTGAAAACAATACTCGGAGGGAGATAAATTAAACAGACGGTTATTTGTCTGTGTAATGTTGCACAGACAGCAACAGCCTGTAACTTTGTGTTTAACTTGATCATTCTGTGAGGAACATTTTTGAGGACAGCTACCGCTGCGCCACCTGCTGCTCTGCTAACTACAGTTGGAATGTTAGTGTAGAGTGAGAAATTTCTAAGCGTGATTGGGTTTTTGAGCATGATTTCTTGTAGACAAAAAATGGCGGGTCTAAATTCTTTTGATAGATTGTGAAATTCTTCTATATTTGCCTTTAATCCGCGGATGTTCCTTGGATAATTGTATTATTTATCTTTCGCTATTTTGGCTGGATTTCGATGGAGTCGAAGCACGAGGCGCTAAGGCAATCGTCTCCATCTCATCATCGTAATCTAGAAGGACATTGAACCGGTTTGTCGGGTCCTCTGATCCTTTGCCAAAGGTGACATTCAGATCAGGTCCATCAGATTTGCCCCTCGCTATTCTAATTTTTTTCCTAGGTCTGTTGGTAGGTGATGTTACGTGTTGCTTCATTTGGGACCGAGGAACAGATGTGAGTGAGCGAGATCGCTGCGACCTCATCTGTGCTCTAGATGGGCCAGCCTTTGGAGGGTTTTCTCCTGAAGAGGAAGGTGTTTTTGATGGTGGTGCTGGTTTTGTTAGTGTTGCTGGTTTTGATGAAGCTGCTGTTTTTGAGGGTGATGCTGCTTTTGACAGGTTGTTCGGTTTGGTTGATTTGGTGGGTTTGGTTAAAGTCGTGAAACGGGATGGGTCCCCCGTGAGGATTTTAAAGTTCTGTTGACCAGCCATGTCTGGGACTTGTGAGCCCCAGGCAGGTATGTCTTCAGAAACTTGAACCGAAGCATCCTTGACCGTGACACTGTCAACCGGCGCCTTGCCTCGAGTCACTTGTGCGTAAGAGGGTGTAGCAATGTCTGCACAAAGCAGATTGGGCCCAATTTCAACACATGTGCATTGAAAAACTAGCATCTCGTATTCCTGGGGGAAGAAGATCCTGGTAGTTGAGCAGAGTCGGAATCACTGTCAAACTCTTGATAGGAAGGAGACATGATCCGATATTCTGCAACATACTGCTTTGGCTTCGGACTCTGGGTAGACGAGAGGGGATATGGGCCCTCTATCCCCAATCGGCTGGTCACGCCGCGCCCTTGGTTTACATACTCCCAAGAAGGCGGTTGCTTAGGGTCAATCGCGAGAGTATCCTCTTTCAAATACAATTTGTAGTATGTATATTCTTACGAGTATACATAGAATAGTATACTAGTAAGAATATACATACTACAAATTGTATTTGAAAGAGGATACTCTCGCGATTGACCCTAAGACACCGCCTTCTTGGGAGTATTTAAACCAAGGGCTCGGCGTGACCAGCCGATTGTTGATAGAGGGCCCATATCACCTCTCGTCTACCCAGAGTCCGAAGCCAAAGCAGTATGTTGCAGAATATCGGATCATGTCTCCTTCCTATCAAGAGTTTGACAGTGATTCCGACTCTGCTCAACTACCAGGATCTTCTTCCCCCAGGAATACGAGATGCTAGTTTTTCAATGCACATGTGTTGAAATTGGGCCCAATCTGCTTTGGGCAGACATTGCTACACCCTCTTACGCACAAGTGACTCGAGGCAAGGCGCCGGTTGACAGTGTCACGGTCAAGGATGCTTCGGTTCAAGTTTCTGAAGACATACCTGCCTGGGGCTCACAAGTCCCAGACATGGCTGGTCAACAGAACTTTAAAATCCTCACGGGGGACCCATCCCGCTTCACCACTTTAACCAAACCAACCAAATCAACCAAACCAAACAACCTGTCAAAAGCAGCATCACCCTCAAAAACAGCATCTTCATCAAAACCTGCACCACAATCAAAACCAGCACCACAATCAAAACCAGCACCACCATAAAAAACACCTTCCTCTTCAGGAGAAACCCCTCCAAAGGCTGGCCCATCTAGGGCACAGATGAGGTCGCAGCGATCTTGCTCACTCACATCTGTTCCTCGGTCCCAAATGAAGCAACACGTAACATCACCTACCAACAGACCTATGCAACATACTGCTTTGGCTTCGGACTCTGGGTAGACGAGAGGAGATATGGGCCCTCTATCACCAATCGGCTGGTCACGCCGAGCCCTTGGTTTAAATACTCCCAAGAAGGCGGTGGCTTAGGGTCAATGGCGAGAGTATACTCTTTCGAATACAATTTGTAGTATGTATATTCTTACGAGTATACATAGAATAGTATACTCGTAAGAATATACATACTACAAATTGTATTTGAAAGAGTATACTCTCGCGATTGACCCTAAGCCACCGCCTTCTTGGGAGTATGTAAACCAAGGGCTCGGCGTGACCAGCCGATTGTTGATAGAGGGCCCATATCACCTCTCGTCTACCCAGAGTCCGAAGCCAAAGCAGTATGTTGCAGAATATCGGATCATGTCTCCTTCCTATCAAGAGTTTGACAGTGATTCCGACTCTGGTCAACTACCAGGATCTTCTTCCCCCAGGAATACGAGATGCAACCCACGGCAAACAGGTTGGCTCAAATTGGAGCTACTGTGAAAGCCTTCTGCTACGATGACGCCCAGCGCGCCACAATCATACCCCCGAAATGATCACATACGCACTGAGCACCAACGTACCCAGCTTCGGGACGTGGACCTAGCTTTCTTGGAGGCCTCACACAAATAGTTGAATATGCCAAAATAAAAAAGTTTATTCAAAAGTGACGATGATAAAGTTGACATATAGATGAGATGTAAACATCCTGTTTGTATCACCAATACCTGATCAGGTTATGTTGAATGCACACATTGGTTTAAAGAAACATCTGAAAAGATTTACTTGAAGATTGATATCATTAAAATGAATTGGTTCCTTACGACAACAATTTCAAAGTCTGTTGAACATTTATATATTATACGATATATCTGTTGAACATTTATATAGTATAAGATATATCCAACCAGTTTCGAAAAATACGTTATTTTAAACGTAGATGAGAAGATTAAAAAACACACTTTTATATCAAAAATATACATCGCCCTGTTTACTCTTACTCAACTCTTTCTAATGATGCATATAATTTTGATTTGCTCTATCAAAACTAAATGTGTGAATAGTTCCAGTTTAATAACAGAATTAAAACGTCGTTTCACTCTCTATAAATTATTTTTTGTCGTGTGTAAATAATAATTTCCTTTTCAAAACTAAACGTTAAACTTTTTTTCATTTGAATTACGTAGGTAAATTCAATTTAGACTAAATAAGTGAAACATAAATAAAATGTTATGGGTAAGGTAATTTTTCATATTTTCTTTAGATGAGGCATCCATGATATTGATGGCGACCGTTTGTTTGAATGAAACAGCAGCAAAATCTGCGGCCGAGAAGTTCATAGTGGAGGAAATGAGAATGAACATGACGCAATACAATGAATTCACTATAGGTCTTGCAGTACAGGTAATATTTATTAGGAATAACGATAAAAATCATATACTGTACTTAGTTAATAATGTCATTATTAATTTTATGTACGATAGCCTCGGATCCTAGTTCTTGGAGACACAGTTGTAAATATATAAATCAGAACAGACACGCCTATGTATTTTTTCGTATTTTGTGGTATATAAATATGCATGTGGTTTTTTGGGAGATATCATTAATTAAATGTACGATAAAATATTTGGTTATAGGCGGCTTGATCCCTTTGAAGTTAACAGCTTTGATGTGTGTTATAAAAATACTGTGTCATATTTAAATGTTTATTAACATTCTCGTCGTAAATTTGTCGGCAATAAAAACAATGAAAAATTACAAGTACAGTAAACATTGAAAGGAATGAGCTGTTGTGAAACTTATCTGAAAATTATGCAATATCTAACTTTTTTATTTTATTTATAGATGCCTCTTTTATATCTTTGATGTCTTTGTTTTGGTTACATAAAACAACTTATGATTAATTAATTTATATAGAAAAATAATATAGACATTTCGAAGGTGCTTTGAAAATATAGTATTAACACATCAGTGTAAAAATAATTTAGCTGATTATAATTACCTGTATTATTCTACCATATCATACAGTTGGGATCAAACTTATCTTGGTAGCCTAGTGCACTAGCTTGTACACTTGAGTTCAGATCCTTGTGCACTTGAGGTAACACTGAAGTGAACTGGAGTTCACATCGATGTTCATTGAAGTTAACTACAGTGCACAAGGTAATTGTTTCATGATATGTCTGGTCTTTTCATGTACTTTGTTTATATACTGTTTTTGTCAATCCAGGCATTGACGGCAGCGAAAGCAGTCCAGGTTGATGATATCATATCAACTGCGCGGTATGATCTCGGAAAAGGTACGGTATAGACTGAAATGACGAAAAACTTTTTTTTTCTAAATTACGTAGGAAAACAATCCAACAAAATAACTAACACGTGTTTGTAAAAGGAAGGTTTTGGTGACAATTTTTTTCTTTATAAAGACAATATATTTACATTGTCGAAATATATCTAAAATTATCGGCAATCAACAGTTTATGTCTGTAATTATGTGAAAAATATTGTTAATGTTTCTAAATTTGATTAGTGTTGTAATCGTAACTTTGACTTTTCATCTCTCTACTGTAATGACAATGAGAATGGGAGTAGGAGGAATGTGAGGTAATTTCATTGTCATTTTGCGATACAATAATAAATGAATAAAAATGAAAATAACAGACCACAACATCGATAGAATGGCAATAAATAGCATTAACATCTTTTGGGGAAAGACACGTTGTATCTCCCTCCGTCCTCGATATCCAGGGGTTACGCTCACTTTCGCTCTCTACGAATGTGAGCGTGACCCCTGGATGTCGAGGATGATCCCCCTGTAACAAAGGTTATACTTGAAAATGTGCAACATTTCATACTTCACTGAGGTGATTCTACACACAGAAGTAGGTTTTGCTGTGTTTTTTTTAAAGAGACCAAGAAATGGAATACCTGTGTTACATGTGATACAATAGCATTTGTTTCACGCTTGATACAATACTACATTATTTGATATTACAATAACTAGTACCAATTATATCGATTTCCAACTAGCAATACTGGGAAGCAACTTGCTGGAGTACCCCGGTGCCGCCTCTAACGTGCTTCCTGCGCTAGCTAAGAAGTCATATCTAGATGCCAGTAAAGTCTACTGCCCGAAGAAAGGTTCGTAATATATGTTTTATATCCTCCCGTAATTTATGTCATTTGTAGGAAATAGTTAATGATAATAATTTATCTTTTCAATTATAATTTTAAAATATTTTATTGTTAAAACAGAGGATTTACACTCATCACAGAGATCTACAAGAACACAATAACAATACATGTAATAACCAAAGGATTATGTAACAAACTAAGCCTATTTCAGTCATTTCCTAAAGTTTTTGGGGGGCTCAACAATTGTTACCGATGCCTATATTGTTCGTCAATCATTGATCTTGCATCCGTTATAAAAGGTATCATTTCCTGGAATAAAACCTCACTAAAAAGCATATTTATAAAAGAGCTTTGTCGGATATACGATTCTCTTGTTCAATGCATCAATCAACGCTGATTTTTTTTTATTCCAGTTAATAAAATTATAAAAGTAAAATCTAAAGCCTCCATTACCGTGGAGATTCGTGTAATTGATGACCTCATCGGTAACACTAGTACGAGCTGGAATGTGATATCACGAAAAGGTTCTACCCTGTACAGCACGATGAAGGACTTGCAGAAACAGTCTGCTACATTCAGGTAATGCTATAAGATTGCTGCTAATGTAAAACTCCTATTTCAGAATACTACTTCGCTGTATTGTATTCTGAATATCAGCCCTTCTGTCACCGGTTTTTCAGTTTTAATTATTAGAACATGAACTGATTTAAGTCCCCTAAACGAAATCGGTGACATATCAATTTTGATGCATTTTTTGTACTTATTACAGTATCAAGTCCCACGAACGAAGTGGGTCTCTATTTTTTCCAACATGTGTAGATTTCCTTCCTTCCACCCTCCATCCCTTCCCTCCCTTGTTAAAAAGGTCCGTAATATTGGTTTGTATCTAATAAATGCCATACTTTCAAATCCAGTTGATCGAAATAGAACAAAATCTCCAATTATTTAAAAAAGAAGAAGACACTTTCATCTAAAATGATCACACTTGGTATTTACCAGTCTAAAATCGTTCCATAAAAACATACATGTTTTAATGATAGACAAATAGAAAGGTTCAACAACCTTATTAATGTCTTCCGAGGAATTACAAATTCCACTTGCAAACCACTTATACAATATGTACAGAAGACGTAGCAGTCTATGTGATTAGTTATAATTTTAAACAGTGTCTTGTAAGCCATTTTAGGCTGAATATCATATACAATTACATTTTCTATTTTATGCATTTGTTAAATATGATACCAGGTGTCAATCAGAAACATTTTTTTTGAAAATAATCTTCCTTTTAAATTATAATTAGCTACTAGTTAGGGTGAATTTGGCAGACCTCGCTGGTAGGGGGCTCCCCAACCCTTGGAAACCAAAATTTCACTACAATGTAGAACTAAGAAATTATTCATTTTATTTATCTCCATTGTTATTGTTTTTTTTTAAAGACATCATGTTTTAAGGCAGTAAATGTAAAAGAAACCTAGTATAGTATTTAATATGTAAGGACAAAATCCTGGAGTTTGTTAGGTAGGGGCTGTCCCAATTCCCTGCTCTCTGGATTGGCACATGTGTTAGTTTGTTTTAATTTATTAATTTATTATGTATAATAGCTGTTCTTAACAAAATTATGATATGGTCTATATATTTTTACATTAAGATGATTGATCCCTGTTATGTAACTATATGTTTTTATACTGTGTAACTATATACTTGTACGATGTAATTGTGATATATGACACTATAATAAACAAAATTGACTTGACTTGACTAAAATAATACACCAAACCTATTTGATAGATCATGTCTGTTAACATGTGACAATAACCCTAAATCTGCAGCTTCAAATCCGAGCGGACCTCGTTTGGAAAGTCCATTACTGCAATTAATGGAGTGGCCAAGGACATTGACAAAAATATATCATGGCGATTGGAGGACGGTTCCGGCACTGCACTGGCTAAAGGTAATCACTGGTAGTCTAAGATTGGTATAAACTGTTTTACTCCATATAATGCTGACATAATTATAAGTATGTTAGAATATTTCCTTAGTAACAGTTATGTGCGATTTTATTATATTTTTCTTATCTATTCAAAATGTATACATTCAGCAATCTTTAACGGGGCAATACTCTCAGATTATCTAATGTTAAAGATTACATATTGTTGAGCCTTTTGACAGTATCAATTATAAGTTTGTAATAAAAAATAGAGTACATTGATTGATTCGGTGTGTCACATCGGTTAATCTGTAGTATCGTCTCTACGTACCTGCACTTGGCTATGTTGTAAGTGTAACCTGTTATGCATGAGGTATGCAATGTTATATGTTACACCTTATAATGTGTTCAGTGTTACAACTGTACCTGTACTTAATTAGGCTTCTAGTGCAACATGTACAATGTACGTCATCAGATATGTAAACTTAACTATAAATTAGTAGGTATGTAAAAGTTACCTGTATAGGATCATGTAAGTAAAATTACATGTATATGGCTATATATGTAGTTAAGTTTACATGACAAAGGTTGTAAAGTTTCCTTTATATGATAAGGTATGTAAAGTTCACTGTTTATGATTAGGTATTTAGCGTTACCTGTTTCATGAATAGGTGTGCAGAGTCATCTTTATATGACAAGGTTTCAAAAATTTCCCGTACATGAATAGATATGTTAAGTTACCTATATTTGATTAAGTATTTAGAGTTACCTGTTCATGACTAGGTATGTTAAGTAACCTTATTTGATTAGACATTACAAGTTACTACATACCTAATCCTGAACAGTTTACTCTTAATACCTAATTAAATACAAGTAACTTTGCATAGCTAGTCATGAACAGGTAACTTTTAATAGCTTATCAAATACGGATTACTTTACATATTTAGTCATGAACAGGTAACTCTTAAAACCACGTCATGTACAGGTCATTCTACATACCTAGCCATGGACAGGTAAATGTAATATCTAGTCATGTAGAGATAGAACTACATACCTAATCATGTGCAGGTAACACTACATACCTAATCATGTATAGGTAACTCTACAAACGTAGTAATGCACATGTAACGTTTAATACCTATTCATGTCCAGGTAATTCTAAATACCTAGCTATGTACAGGTAACTCTACCTACCTAATACCTGTACATGCTAAGGTACGTACTGTTACCTGTACATGATAAGGTACGTAGAGTACCTGGACATGATAAGGTACGTAGAGTTGCCTGTACATGATAAGATATGTAGAGTCACCTGTACATGATAAGGTATGTAGAGGTACCTGTACATGATAAGGTATGGAGAGTTACCTGTACATGATAAGGTATGTAGAGTTGCCTGTACATTATAAGGTGCGTAGAGTTGCCTGTACATTATAACATAAGTAGAGTCACCTGTACATGATAAGGTATGTAGAGTTACCTGTACATGATTAGGTATGGAGAGTTACCTGTACATGATAAGGTATGTAGAGTTACCTGTACATGATAACTTATATAGAGTTACCTGTTCATAATTAGGTATGTAGAGTTACCTGTTCATGATAAGGTACGTAAAGTTACCTGTACATGATAAGGTACATAGATTTACATGTACATGATAAGGTACGTAGAGTACCTGTACATGATAAGGTACGTAGAGTTACCTGTACATGATAAGGTACGTAGAGTTACATGTACATGATAAGGTATGCATAGTTACCTGTACATTATTAGGTATGTAGAGTTACCTGTACAGGATAAGGTATGTAGAGTTACCTGTACATGATAACTTATTTAGAGTTATCTGTTCATGATTAGGTATGTAGAGTTACCTGTACATGATAGATACGTAGAGTTGCCTGTACATGATTAGGTATATAGAGTTACCTGTTCATGATAAGGTATGTTGAATTACCTGTTCATGATAAGGTATGTAGAGTTACCTGTACATGATAACTTATTTAGAGTTACCTGTTCATAATTAGGTATGTAGAGTTACCTGTACATGAAAAGGTACGTAGAGTTACCTGTACATGATAAGATACGTAGAGTTACATGTACATGATAAGATATGTAGAGTTACCTGTGCATGATAAGGTATTGAGAGTTACCTGTACATGATAAGGTACGTAGAGTTAAATGTACATGATTAGGTACGTAGAGTTACCTGTACATAATTAGATATGTAGAGTTACATGTATATGATAAGGTATGCAGAGTTACCTGTACATCATAAGGTACGTAAAGTTACCTGTACATGATATGGTACGTAGAATTACCTGTACATGATAATATATATAGAATTACCTGTACATGAAAAGGTATGTAGAGTTACATGTACATGATTTTGTCATACTGCAAAGCAATGTTCAATGTTGCAAACCGTTTGCAAACCAAATTGGTCATACTGCAAAGAAAAATGTCGCACGGTGATTGGTCGAATTGCCAAGGTACCTGAAGATATGTTAGTATCCTTGCCGGGGTACATAAGAGCACGCGCGCCTGCAGTTGTAAGGGAGATAACTCGCAGATTCGAATCGAACACACCGGAGAACGTTCGTCTGCTAATGTCAACAATGAACAAAATGGCGAAACGGTTTGCAAGCCACACGGAGAGAAAAATTGAGACAAAACGGGCGTCACTTATACCTACAAACACAAAGAAAAGTAACAATTCAGCAAACAAAACATTCAGAGCATACTTAAGCGAAAAGGAGCAAGACACAGATTTTGAGGACTTCTCGAAGCCAAGATTAGACGAGGAATTGGGTCATTTTTATCTCGATGCAAGGAGACAGGATGGGTGTCTTTACAAGACGACAACGCTTGAACATTGCTTTGCAGTATGACAAATTCGTTATACAGGTCTTTGGCAGGGTACATGGTCTCATGTTCGCTGTCAGGACCTTATGTACCCTTCGCCTTCGACTCAGGGTACATAAGGTCCTGACAGCGAACATGAGACCATGTACCCTGCCAAAGACCTGTATAACTAATAATATATATAGAATTACCTGTACATGAAAAGGTATGTAGAGTTACATGTACATGATAAGGTATGTAGAGTTACATGTACATGATAAGGTATGTAGTGTTACCTGTACATGTTTAGGGATGTATTACCTGTATATGATTAGGTTTGTAAAGCTACCTGTACATGATAATATATGTAGAGTTAAATGTACATGATAAGGTATGTAAAGTTACCTGTACATGATAACTTATTTAGAGTTAAATGTACATGATAAGGTATGTAGAGTTACCTGTATATGATAACTTATTTAGAGTTACCTTTTCATGATTAGTTATGCAGAGTTACCTGTACATGATAAGGTACTTAGAGTTACCTGTACATGATAAGGTACGCAGAGTTACATATACATGATAGGGTTTGTAGAAATACCTGTACATGATAAGGTACGTAGAGTTAAATGTACACGATAAGGTACGTAGAGTTACCTGTACATAATTAGATATGTAGAGTTACATGTATATGATAAGGTATGTATAGCTACCTGTACATGATAAGGTACGTAAAGTTACATGTACATGATTAGGTACGTAGAGTTACCTGTACATGATTAGGTACGTAGAGGTACCTGTACATAATTAGATATGTAGTGTTACCTGTACATGTTTAGGGATGTATTACCTGTATATGATTAGGTTTGTAAAGCTACATGTACATTATTAGGTATGTAAAGTTACCTGAAAATGATATGGTACTTAGAATTACCTGTACATGATAAGGAACGTAGAGTTACATGTACAGGATAAGGTATGTAGAGTCACCTGTACACGATAACTTATTTAGAGTTACCTTTTCATGATTAGTTATGCAGAGTTACCTGTACATGAGGTACGTAGAGTTACCTGTACACCATTAGATATGTAGAGTTACATGTACAGGATAAGGTATGTAGAGTTACATGTAGGTAGGTAGAGTTACCTGTACAGGATAATTTATTAAGAGTTACCTGTTCATGAATGTAGAGTTACCTGTATTCAATTTTTCGCTTGAAACATAAACGTCCGTCATTAACAAATCTGTATTGAGAACCCAATGACAGGAATATTGCTTCAAACTCTCTCTATATATAGCATTAAGGTTCATGGTATTCCTCCGTTCAAAAGTTGTATTCGACATTTGACATTGGCCGAATATCTTGATAATCGTACGGCCTACATGTCGGTAAGAATATATTGACTCTTAATGAATGAAGAAATACTAGATAGTAGTTTATAATTTATTAAGAGTTACCTGTTCATTATTAGGTTTGTTGAGTAACATGTATATTATTAGGTATATAGAGTTACCTGTTCATGATAAGGTATGTAGAGTCACCTGTACACGATAACTTATTTAGAGTTACCTTTTCATGATTAGTTATGCAGAGTTACCTGTACATGAGGTACGTAGAGTTACCTGTACGTGATATGGTATGTAGAGTTACATGTAGGTAGGTAGAGTTACCTGTACACCATTAGATATGTAGAGTTACATGTACGTGATAAGGTATGTAGTGATACCTGTACATGTTTAGTGATATATTACCTGTATATGATTAGGCTTGTAAAGCTACATGTCCATTATTAGGTATGTAAAGTTCCCGGACAATGATATGGGACGTAGAATTACCTGTACATGCTAAGCTATATAGAATTACCTGTACATGCTAAGCTATATAGAATTACCTGTACATGCTAAGCTATATAGAATTACCTGTACATGAAAAGGTATGTAGAGTTACCTGTACATGATAAGGTACGTAGAGTTACCTGTGCATGATAAGGTACGTAGAGTTACCTGTACATGATATGGTATGTAGAGTTACATGTACATGATTAGGTACGTAGAGTTACCTGTACATGATTAGGTATGTAGAGGTACCTGTACATGATAAGGTATGTAGTGTTACCTGTACATGTTTAGGGATGTAATACCTGTATATGATTAGGTTTGTAAAGCTACATGTACATTATTAGGTATGTATACATGTAGTTACCTGTAAATGATACGGTATGTAGTTACCTGTACATGCTTAGGTAGATCGAGTTACCTGTACATGATTAGGTATGTCGAGTGAACCTGTTCATTATTAGGTTTGTTGAGTAACATGTATATTATTAGGTATATAGAGTTACTTGAACATAATAAGGTATGTAGAATTACCGGTTTATTATAAGGTATGTTGAGTTACATATATTATTAGGTAAATAGAGTTACTTGAACCTGGTAAGGTATGTAGAGTTACCTGTACATCATAAGGTACGTAGAATTACCTGTACATGATAAGATATATAGTATTACCTGTACATGATAAGGTATGCAGTGTCACCTGTACATGATAAGGTATGTAGAGTTACCTGTACATGATAAGGTATGTAGATTTGCTTGTACATGATAAGGTATTGAGAGTTACCTGTACATGATAAGGTATGTAGAGTTACCTGTATTCAATTTTTCGCTTGAAAAATAAAAGTCCGTCATTAACAAATCTGTATTGAGAACCCAATGACAGGAATATTGCTTCAAACTCTCTCTATATATAGCATTAAGGTTCATGGTATTCCTCCGTTCAAAAGTTGTATTCGACATTTGACATTGGCCGAATATCTTGATAATCGTACGGCCTACATGTCGGTAAGAATATATTGACTCTTAATGAATGAAGAAATACTAGATAGTAGTTTATAGATGATAATCTGTAATTCGTTAATACCTGTAAGACATGGACTGTTTGTTTTACAGGTGTGAGTGAAACAGTGCCGAAGGACGGAGATGTCTGCACCTTCCGTTTAACAAAAGCTTGAGTAGCATTTGTGACACATCGATATTGTACATACAATGTACTTCATATAGTCTGAAATAAACATTAATATCAAAAAAGTTCCTGTTTTGTCTTCACTGATACAAAGGTTTTACTACGACAATCTGTCTGTCTATACAATCTGTCTGTCTATACAATCTGTCTGTCTCACAATTATGTCTATCTCACAATCTGTCTGTCTATACAATCTGTCTGTCTCACAATTATGTCTGTCTCACAATCTGTCTGTCTATACAATCTGTCTGTCTCACAATCTGTCTGTCTATACAATATTACTTTATAAAAGACATTGTGTACACTCTCTTGTCTCAACCCTCTTCGCTTCGAGTCTTCGCTGAGTACTGGGCAGCCAAACTATTACCTGAGGTTTAACATTTCCCTTTCCACGGACCACACCCATGTTGGATCCATTTCCTCCCATATTGGAAACAAACATGTCCGTGTCAATACTCTACACGAGTTCATATGCATGTATTCCACGGAAGGCGCGAATTAATACACCTATGTTAATTTCATAGTTTCATTTACAACAAAAAATCCTGCCTCATTTTTTATTTTCAATGTCAGATAGTCACGATATACTGCCTTAGTATATACCATGAACACCACATTCATAAAGGATATTTTTTAACTCTTTTCCTTCGATTACCCTGATCTTTACTTACAGCATGATAAAAATCACAGCTTACTTATTACTGTACGATGATAGTGACAGTATCGATATTCCGATCGCCTCATTTACCTTTCTCGATAGTAACATATCTGTTTCCTTAACCTATTGTGTTTACATGTCACTGCTGATTCGATTTTTTAAAACAGGCAATTATTGCCATGGTCGATGTCGACTTCTCACGGAGAAACTTACAACAATGGATTTCAACAGATGACTGTTCATTTCATTTCATTTCAATATTCATTTTATCCTAGATGGTACATGAATGTGATTGAACAACATACTATGGCTATATACATTATCTTTTAAAAAAACATCCATGTTAATCGGGTTTCTTTGTATGATATGAAGGTCGATGTTTTTTATTATACTTATTAGCGTGCTTTGTTGTTTTGTTTTCACTAACGCGGGTCTCCCAATTCGGACATCATATTACTTGAGCTGGAACGCAATTTACAAAGCGGTGTCGTCAAAGAAGCAAAAGCCATTCCGAAACACCTAGTTTTTGAGGATCTCTATGTAAATATTTCCTTTCTTCTGTTGTGTTATGTTCGTATTTTGCCCTATGTACATGTAGTACTGAGCTCTTTTTACGGTTTTTTGACAGTTTCGTATTCTCTCTAACATTCTTACAGTAGGAAAACATTAATATAACGTGTGAACTGGATACTAAATCAAGAATCCGGAAAAAATGAGAAATCAGCATAAATCATTTGCTGATTAATAAGGTCAAATATGTATATTTTGTATCTGTAAAACAATTATAATTATGAAATTGCATAATAAACAATAGCTAACGAAATCTATGCGAAGTGAGTAAGAATCAAACTATATGCACAAGTGTAACAATATATATATGATGGTGTATATCTCTATCATTGTACATTATATCTGTAAGTGAATACACGGTCAAAAACAAGGACACAGACTCTGGACTTCGTCAGTCGTAAATGATGTAACTTTACAGTCAGAAACTAGGGCACAACCACTGGACGTTGTTCGATACACACGGTCTGAAGCTAAAAATCAACCAGTGGACTTCGTGAGCTGTCGGTAATGTAGGCAAAAGGTCGAAAGCTATGACAAAACCATGGGACATATTTTGATAGTTGATAATGATGCAAGACACATCGTAACAAGAATGGAACAGAAACTGGACTACGTAATCTGTAGGTGATATTACTACACGGTCACAAGCTAGGGCACAGCCGCTGGGATTCTTTAAGTGAAAACACTTAACTTATAATGCCATTCGCATAGTGGAATAAAGTGGCTACTTATACAAATACAATGAATTTATTTTGATATTATGTTACGTCTGTATACCAACTGAATATATTCGCTCACATACTGGTAAAGTATAACTTTTCGCGGTATGGGAATGCTCGCGTTTTTCAAGTTCAGTAAGTCCACTCGATATTTATTTTTTTATGAAGTATACAGATTATATATATATAGAATATAAAGATATCAAAACCATTACCGACTCGATATTTTTTATACAACGATCAATTTAAAGAGTGACACCGCGAACATCACCACTCGCGAACTTCACAGCTTCACGATAATGAAGTCCATTATTGATGTACCTTTTATTTCAACATCTACTGAACATATGAGTGAGCATTGGGATTTCACTTTCTACTTAATTTTTAGTTGTTTTATATTCGTCCCAAGAAAATTTTGCAGCGCAAAATAATGATAGCCACAGATAATCATATAAATAAACGTCGCATTCTGTCAATTGGAAGTTGGCAACGATTCCTAGAAATATCGGTGCGTCAAAATGAACATATTCCAACTCTTGTTTAATACCGCTTTCATTTAAAAGTAAATTTGGCCTAAACAACACAAAACCGATTACTACTTGAAATTCCAGGAGTCTTTGAATAGTTCCACAAATGTTACATATCATTCTATGTCGGGTAAAACACGATATTCAAAATACTTCTTTACATTTTTGATAACGTTCAATACCCAAGGCCCATATCTCTCGAATACATGATCAGGACCGTTGCCCGTCGCCTTGGACATGAAGTTAACGCCGATGTCGCTTTCATATCCGGGTGTAAAGAAAAAAGGAGATGTATACCTGTCGACCCCGATGTCTATGACGCGATGTGCGGTAGCCTTCAACCTCCCTCCCATCATTCTGGAGAACGTGTCACCTATATTCATAACAAGGCTCCTTGGACGAGGAGCTACTTCCAACCAGGTGCCATCTGGCATCTTAACCTCGAGTCCTTTATAGTCGAAGGTCGCCAGAAGGGTAAGGAAGTTGGTATCTGTGTGTTCTGGTGTAATAACAACTTTATTGTCCTCTATCCGGGCGTTGTCTGGGGGAGTCCCCTCCCAGGGAGGATAATGCATTATCCTGTAAGTGGTACACGGCTTGTCAGAAAACAACGGTGTGAAAATGTCCTCTTCTATTCCCAATCCGATGGCTGTTAGACGCAATATTTCTAAAGCCGTTTCGTGTAGTTTCTCGTAAAGTGCCCTCATATTGGCCCTGAACGGGAACGATCCATCCTCTTCCGGCCACACTGAGTCCTCGTAGAACCAGTTGTTAGGTTTGACTGTGGGGTCATTACGAGGGACGTCACGCGCAAACTCAAACCCTTCTTTTCTGCTAGGTTCGTTAGGTTTAACAGGGAAGTAACCACGGTAAACATTCTTGTTATCTGGGTTCCAAAAGTTCCTCAATAGCTTTTTCTTGGTTTCTTCTGGCTGTTTAAAGAACCATTCACAGCATTTGAACCAGAGCTCGAAATCCAATCCTTCTATGTTGTCGATGAACAAAAATCCAGTGTTCTCAAGTGCGTCCACTATCACTTTCGCCAAAGACTCACGATCAGTATGAACTTTGGACAGATCGACTATTGGCAGCTTCAACGACATTTTGGAATCACACAAACAGTAGATAATGTGCCTGCCTGGAAGTTTAAATTCAAACTTTAAAATTATTTCGTAAAGTAACAGTTTATCGGTTACGTATGAACGTGAATATGAATATCTTTAAACATGCATTGGTATCTTTAAAAATGTATATATCAATGAGAAAAAATCTAAAAAATGATAATAATGATATACCTTATCATACAAATATTGAGTCAGCATAAGGTTAACTGATGCAGGGTTTAGGCTTAGTGTATACAAACGAGGAATTGCCTTCGTGATATTAAATACAATGTCAACTAGACTACATGTAGTCTTAAACAATTATTGGTACAAAGACATGGAATGGGTTAACGTTTGTTCATGCATCTGTCACAATATCCTACTTACTTGTAATGTAAGTCAATATATCTCACTGCCCGTGATCCTGTCAGTTACCTGCCGGTACAAACACCAGTAGTGAATCCTGTAAAAACCTGTCACTTGTGTTAAGTATTTACTTACCAGCAGTGTACTTTTATCTTGAGTAGAGATAAGTACTTAAAGTGAATCATTTGACACTGATATGTGGTGTATTTATCACAGCGATGTATATATTCACATATGGATGCCTTAATATAATGGTGTACGTACAGATTTAATATATACCTCTCTATATTGAGCAATTGGGGATATGGTAGAATCACCGATATTTTTCTTCACGGTCTAAATACTTAGATACGGTCTAAATACTTAGATATATACTATTTTTTTTCTCTGTTGTATGACTTTGTTGTGTTGTATGACTTTGTTGTGTTGTATGACTTTGTATTGTATGACTTTGTTGTGTTGTATGACTTTGTTGTGTTGTATGACTTTGTATTGTATGACTTTGTGTTGTATAACTTTGTGTTGTATGACTTTGTTGTGTTGTGTAGCTTTGTTGTATTGTATGGCGTTGTGGTGTTGTATGGCTTTGTTGTGGAACTGTGTCGTACTGTGTAGCTTTGTTGTATTGTGTAGCTTTGGTGCGTTGTATGACTTTGTTGTGTTGTGTATCTTTGTTGTATTGTGTAGCTTTGTCGCGTTGTATGACTTTGTTGCGTTTTATGACTTTGTTGTGTTGAATGACTTTGTTGTGTTGTGTAGCTTTGTTGTGTTCCGTAGCTTTGTTGTGTTGTGTAGCTTTGATGTGTTGTGTAGCTTTGTTGTGTTGTGTAGCTTTGTTGTGTTGTGTAGCTTTGTTTTGTTGTGTAGCTTTGTTGTATTGTATGACTTTATTCAACTTTTTTGTGTTGTGTATCTTTGTTGTATTGTGTAGCTTTGTCGCGTTGTATGACTTTGTTGTGTTGAATGACTTTGTTGTGTTGTGTAGCTTTGATGTGCTGTGTAGCTTTGTTGTGTTGTATGATTTTGTTGTGTTGTGCTGCTTGATTGTGTTGTATAGTTTTGTTGTATTGTGTAACTTTGATGTGAAGCTTTGTTGTGCTATGTAGCTTTTTATATTGTATGACTATGTTGTTTTGTATGACTTTGTTGTCTTGACTTTGTTGTTTTGTATGAATTTGTTGTGTTGTATGATTTTGTTGTGTTGTGTAGATTTGTTGTGGTGTGTAGTTGTTTTGTGGTGTAGCTTTGTTGTATTTTATGACTGGGTATGATTTTGTTGTGTTGTGTAATTTTGTTGTGTCGCGTGGCTTTGTTGTATTGTATGACTTTGTTCTGTTGTTTAGCTTTGTTTTGTGGTGTAGCTTTGTTGTATTTTATGACTTTGTATGCTTTTGTTGTGTGGTGTAATTTTGGTGTGTCGTGTGGCTTTGTTGTATTGTATGAGTTTGTTGTATTGCTTGACTTTGTTGTGTTGTGAAGCTTTGTTGTATTGTATGACTTTGTTGTGTTGTGAAACTTTGTTATATTGTATGACTTTGTTGTGTTGTGTAGCGTTTTTGTGTGGTGTAGTTTTGTTGAGTCGTGTGGCTTTGTTGTATTGTATGACTTTGTTTGTTGTAAGACTTTGTTGTGTCGTGTGGCTTTGTTGTATTGTATGACTTCGTTTGTTGTAGGACTTTGTTGTGTTGTGTAGTTTTTTTTGTGTTGTTTGACCTCGTTAACAGTTTTTTGTGGGATATATTGAAATTTATCTGAGATGACAGTATCTGTTTCATGTTACATGCTTTTGTGCACGATATATGTTTGAGCCTGTGACACATTACTATCAATGTCAGTTTGATATAGTGGAGAAGCTGACATGATTTAGATTTTACCGGGATTTACATGACAAAGAAGACTATTACTCTTCCGAAAAGACTAACCTAATATTCCATTTAAATGGTTTTTGAGTAAACTATTTTTTTTTCGCACAGTTTATTTAAAATTAAAATAGAATAACGGTTTTGTTTACACTTTATTCTGTTGGATATTTTGTATATTTTCAATTTGTTTCATCAACTGTCAATGTTTTACATCAACAATATAATTAAAGGAGATCGTTCTTCAATGATCTATCTGTGAAGCATCTTTTCATATTATTTCAATCACTAAATAACTTTGAGGAACATGGCGGGTTAATGAAACACAAGATTATCCAAATACCCTTCGAACAAGGGTTTCTAAAACATATGGCCCTTAAGGCCTTTTATTACCCCCCAACCCCCCCAAAAAACTAGTATTCTTATCTATATTATCTTTTCTTTCGCACAGGAATGCACATGGGCCCCTAAATCAAATTGACTTTCCAGCTAACGAACTCTTGCGAATATGAAATAAGGATTTGTTGACACTTTTATTTTCTAATTTTATTGGTAGACAAATTCATCAACAACACTCTTCGTGCATGTGGCGAGAGTTTCAAATTTTCTAGTAGCAGATGCTAAACAATTTATTTTAGGTAGGTGCTACCTTCCCTAATCATCGGTCCCCTATTGTCAAATCACGAGGTTTTGGAAGGCACGACATTTCGCAAGTGGTCGTGACGGCTCATAAAGGCTACCTAACTTCTTTAAATATTGCGGAGCTGTTCCATTTAGTGCCTTGTACCTGTACGATAACACTTTGCACTGCAGCCTGGCTCGTACTGATAACTAATATAGTGGCTATACCACGGGTATGATACGGTCTCTCTTCCGATAACATACATGTTTTAGTGGTACATTGTAACAAGTGTGGTTGTGAACTACCTTAATGTTCCTCATCTAATAGTGAAAAAAATGGCAATAACATTAACCTGTATTTCCATGATCACTGAACTATCGAAGTTCATATCCAGTGTAGGTAATCTGTACTAAAGCTATGGGATCGCACAGCACCACACAGTGTGAAATCTACGCATCACGTGCGTTGGGCGTCCGCATGAGCACCGGTATCATAGGCGATAGAAACGAAGTCGCATAGTCATGGTGGTGTATATGAATTAAAAAACACTTTTTGAAAACATAATGTTATGTATACATTTTACCATATCGATATTTTTTTTAATGATGTGTGCAAGGTCCTGTACACGACCAATACAACCGTCTTCGTGACGTGACGGACAATAACTGTTATCCTGACAACTGGAATGTGTTTGACAATCCGCGACCTAGCCAGACTCAGGAAGTATATATTGATATAGTACGGTGCATAATGCGATTTCAAATGTGGACTAGATAATAACTGGCAGGGTGTTTATATGAACATTTCAGATTTTTTTTTTATTAACTTGATAGTTTAACGAAAATAGGTAAACGTTCTATCAGCACGAGAGACATAAAACTGAAACAACACTTTGACCTGCTATACGTAAGACCAAGGTCGGGTAACAGTACACATGGGATGGCATCTAACTCACCGAGAAATGAAAAATGTCAAGTCACACAGTATACATGTAGACTCACATCATGGACATCAACCGAATTTCTTCTCATAAGCTGGAAAACGCGATTGACATTAGGCCCATGTGTGTTTTAATAACTGTCAATAGCCGCGTACCTGTCTTATCATTGATGAACATTAAACACGATCCTTTCTTATGCTTTTCCTAAATAGTTATCAACCAGTCGTGCCAAACGCAGATTTCGGCGAATGACGATGTACGAGGCGTGTGCGTGCGAAGTGCTTACTTTGTGTGTATGGTGTTTTCGGTTCGCTGTGAGGCTACATAATTGTATACACCTATTTTTTTTAGAAACGATTATGAATTAATTGTACTGTCACAATATAATTTTGGCATGTATACCTTTGTGTCATCTGTCCAACAAATTAAAAGTTTCAGATAATCCCGATCAAAGATCTGAATTCAGCATTAAGATTAATCTGTTATACCCCACAATGTAAAATGAACGTCTGAAACCTATGTCATTGTCAATAATATCCAATACGTACGGAGGCCAGGTAAAGCAGTTCAGCTAATAAGCGACATATTTAACATCGACATCCAGACTATCCTCAAGGAGACGAATCGCTCTACGTAGAGGCACACTTTGGCACAGTCTGCTTTAGGATATGTACGGTAGAGGTTTTTCTTTAATACCTCCTTGTCCGTACGATACTTCATCAAAAGTGAAATTTCATCAGCTTTACTGAAGCATAATGAAATACTCCAGTCGATGACCTGTTTGCAATTGATGCAACAAAAGGAATAAGAACTGCCAGATATTGCTTCAGTAGATTTGTGGGAAGAGGAAACAGTTCTTATACATTTTATTGTGAGTTTTTGAGTAGCAAACCAGGATTTATAGAAGTTTCCACAACACTAGATTTGTTGTTTGCTGGTATGGATTATATTCAGGAGGTAATTATTGGATATTTTTGAATGGATAGTTTGATTGTATCGGAATTTAATAAAGATACTTTCCTTCATACATTGCACCAAGGGACAGTTGGTTTCATAGTATTGATCATCGTATTACGAGGTGTCTCACTGTCGATGGTGATCGCCAGAGATAAACTCTTCAATATGTTCATCAGCCCCTTTTTCAGTATACTGAACTGTAGGTCATTAATGAAATCTGTGTCGCGGAAGTTACGTAATACATCTGGAAGTACGCCTCCTGACTTGCAAATTATGAGTTATCACAATAACGACTATTTCTACACCTGCAGTTGTTGACAGTATTAACGACATAGTGATGAGTGTCTGATGAATCACAAAGCGGATAAATTTTAAAAGCGTTTCTCGAAAAGAGTTAATTCTATCACCACGAAGAAATAAAAATACATTCGACAACTTATCAATACCGGATCGTCCTGCGAGAACATCAACCTGTTTTCAAAAGATTAATTCTGACAACTTCTGCTGTGTGACAGCAGTTAAAGGCTAAACCACCATTTCCAATTTGATTCCAAACATAAAGCGGAAACGCATGAGACCATATCCACCAAAGCAGGTAAAAGATAACACTTTAGTTTCCTTGGATACTGATAGAGTCATAACTGAAGACTAACTATAAAATGAACACACACTAATTGGTTCAATTTGTAGGCAGCTTAGGGAAAGCATATAGACAAATCATTAGTCATTGTGGTAAAGGTCATGACTAAATATGGATTTGAATGTACTGTGCATCCAACAGTATTCAATATTCATATTAACATTTTAAACCTCATGTTCGACATTTTCTGTTTATGGGTGTCCGTGTTCTAGGTAGTGTTTATTGTCCTACCAATAACTCTACACTTATTAATCTGTATAGAAAACGATGGGAGGAACGTTCCATGACGGTATAGATGCTGTAGGATAGTGAAGTCAATCATGCAGGAATGGCAACGTTATACCCTTAATCCCCTAAATTGTGATTATCTTATCACGTTATCAAGAGATGAAGACAGCCGACTGGCAGTCTTTTCCCCTCTTCCAATTAGTAAAACAATAGAACATGCACAACTTAATGAGAACGTAAAAAACGCGACTAGCACTGAGCTATAAGAAAAACAAGAATTGTTGAAGGACGAACTACAGACGACTGACGCTTTCCGACAGATTGACGAATTTGAAATATCACAAGCATTTCACATGATACTCCTTTCATCGGATTGTTTCAGAAAACCTCCCCAAAATCCTGATTTAGTAGTATTGGATTTTCTAATCTTGTAAATTACAATCCGAATGAGAAATAATAATAATGGCTTTACTAACAGAACTTATATAGGAACCTATCGTATGTACAAATTATATATCTATATGTACACATATACTAATTTACAGCTGATTTATGCATATATGTATCATGTGTAAATTTATATAAATATTATGTAATATACTATATATATAGCAACAAATATGCAATTAATAAATCAATCGTACAAATACCAATATGACAAAGGATGGCCATACCTTTATAGCATTCTGCTAATATATTTTATTGTTCATAAAGGATGACAAGAAACATCTTAAAAGAAGATAAACGGCAAAGTTTTTTCATATATGTGGTTATAAGTCTGAAACAGCTTAAACCATCTGAACAGACGAATTAGCATTAAAGAAGTCAATAACACTTTTTACACATTCATATGTTTAATATACTGTGCGAGAACCACACACATCTTGATCGTTCAACGGGAGGTCACTCGTACACGCGTGTAGTACACCTTACCTTTCGTTATGCTTCCGATCAAATTTCGCACAGATATACGACATCGTTTTTTCGTGAAGTTAAATTACCGATTGCATCGATCATTGATATATTTAACGCATAGGATATCGTGAGAAATGCCATTTTGACGCATACACACCTGTCCCGTTCAAGTAGACTCTTGTTGTATGCGTCTGGTTGAACGAGACTATGAAACTATAAGACGTGTTCAGCCCATCGCCATTTTAAGATGTATATATATACAAAAATGATTCGACCATAGGTCGTTTCGTATCTAAGATCAAATTTGTATTTTGTAGAAACTGTGTTGTGAATCAATCAACAGCCAAGCATTCAGACTGCAATGTGTAATTCAAATGCATGGATGCAAAATATTGAAATGTTGTCGTCGTATCACACAACAAATATTACCTCCAGTACCAGAGTCACAATATATCTTTTTAAAGAAGCTTTATTCCGGCTAAGATCATTTCGTTTTAGTCGAGAGCATAAATTTGGACTTTTTTGTGTGTCAAAACTTCATATGTATGAGTGGTAGAAATATACCCAGCTGTAGCTGTTGAATCTCCGCACCTGTAGTTTTAATACATTGTTGTACCGAATTTGAAAAAAACCATAACTACGAGGTCGGACGACAATAAATTACAGGTAAGTTCAATTACATTCGGATTAGACTTTTGAGATAAAGTACTATCTTTTATTCAGTTCAGCGACATACATGTTTTACCAAAGAGCACTGCGTACATTACGATAACGCCATATTGGACACACTTTCCATTTAATCATGTTGCTTTTCCAATGCAGTGTTGTATTTTTAATCGTCGTTTATACAAACTGCTGCTGTGGTAAGTTTATTGCACTGAACATACTATTTATGAATTACGAACATTTATGTTTACCTAATTATCATTTTTACGTTATTGGTAAGGCATTTTTGCTTCAAAACGAAAGTGTAATGTCGGAGAAGAAGTGTTTTCATACTCAAAGTAGTAAATGCGGGATAGTGATTTCATCAACTGATCAATATACATGTATATATGTAATCAAAAGTTACAAACTCATACTTTTTGGAGTTTGGACAATCACGAAAAATGATTTCAACTGTCTTATTTGTTGCCCGATCATGGCATTTTCATCCTTAGGAGCTGATCCGAATACTGCCGCGATACAAGTCGGAGCTAAAGAGTTGCTCAACTCCCGTAAAAACTGGAGTTGGGGTTCGTATGCCAACGCGGAGGCCATTTTAGGGCTGATGCTGGCGAATGACACGTGGTACCGAAAGGACGATGCAGACTCCGTGGTCAGTGTTCAGGCCATGCACATTGAACTCCTAGCAGCATTATCACGGTACGACCAATTATTCAGTTCTCAAATGGCTGGGGTTATGATCATTTCACAAACTCATTCTCTTCAAATGCATACAAATACAACAACAGCTTTACAAATAAATTTGAGGATAGGGATAGATAACATGTTTATATCTCATCTTTATAACAACGCATCTGATGGGAGGATATTGTCACATGGCGGGGTTATAAACATCATATTGTATGTTGCACTCACGTGCTCGAATTTCCCCGATCATATTTTCGGGTTCCGGAAGACTAAAATAAACGACAATGGTGCGTCAACTTTCCTATTAATGTTTTACCTCGGCATAATACAATATGTATTGTCCATGTTGTAGACAAACACGATTTATTACTCTTCAATTAATAATTTTGTTCTCGGACTTCACCCAAGTTTATACATAATTAGTCCAGGGGAAACAAAGAATCGTGTTTCCCTACAAAACGGGCAATATATGTATTTTATATCATAGTTATATCTATATCCCGAGGTAACTGGTCACTTACAGTGTTGTATGGAAAGGTGTAGTGTAGGAGGGAACTTATCTCTTATCAGTATATTATCTCAGAGTCAAATATACTATCCAGGTGTCCAGTAGAGTATCCTAGGATTAAACACAGTATCCAGGAGTCAAGTTGTGTATCTTATAGTCAAGTATGGTAACCCGTTGTCAAGTATACATTTAGTATCATGGGGCCAAATATAGTATTCAGGAGCAAAGTATAGTGTCTAAGAATTAAATGTAGTACTCTGGAGTGAAAATCAGTATACCAAAGCCAGGTAGGCCTATACTATCCCGTAGTCAAGTATAATGTCCCAGGGACAAGTATAGTCTCCAAGATTCATGATGAAGTCAATGGCAAGTGTTAACAAAATCATAATTAGGACTGAAATCGAAAAAAACTAAGGCTTTATATGAGCAAAGTAACGTCAAACAGAGATAATATAGAAAAACAAACAAGGATAATATGACCAGGTGTTACGGAAGGGTAAGCGTATCCTGCTTTATCGCGACACCCGCCATGTGAATCTAGGTCAATACTCAATAATGTCCTGTCCTCATACCTATAACTAGGGTGGTGACAACAAAACAACAATGCACAACAATGAGTTAGATACAAATGTAAATCAAAACTGTCGACATTCTTATTACAAAAGAAATAGTATATATCCATATGGAATCATGGTGGCGACCTTTCAACTTAGAACAAGTTTTAATTATTTTCTTAGCAACAGTATGCTGGAAGATGCAGAATGGTCAAACGGAAAGCTAGCACAATACGTCAGTGCGATCCAGATGACCTGTTACGATCCAAAGGATTTCTACGGACACAATCTCGTCTATATTCTCAGTGGACATATGACCCAGAACAGGGAATACTTTATGCGGCAGAGGTTTGCCCTCTCGTGGGGAGTGTTGGCACTCTGTAATGCCAATGAACACATAGAGGAGACGTTTAAGAAGCTTCTCGGCAACCCATCAACAAACTTCACATTTGGCGTTGGTATGTGTTTCAAAAGGCCTTCAAAACCAGTCAATGACATATAGGACTATTCTTTTTGAAGACGGGTATAATTGATATAGTAATAATCCAGAATAGTGGACTTACACACATGTTATTTAACGAGAAAGATAATTGAACTCAAAATGAGAATTACGGATAAGTAAAATATATATAATCCCCGAAACGAGGATAAACCCATGTATAACTCAAGGACATGTAGTAATTATAAAAAATCCATCTTTTGAAAGATACTTTTTTTGTACTTCAATTTACAAATTTTAATGTAATTTAAAAAAATAAAGGTATATCTACCATCGTGCAGTGGTTCAGATAAGACTTCGTACATTGCTTTTTTAACAGACGAAGCCGCCATGACTCTGATGGCATTGACCTGTATCAAAGACACGATAGGTCGACAGTCGGCTGAGAATTTTATAGTGAGACTGCTCAGGTCAGGGGTAACACTTGGAGAATACTCCAGTAGTCTGGCAATACAGGTATGTATCTCTAACAGGAGTACTGCAATCGTGTGTCCTGTGTAACTCGTCTCTTACAGGAGTACTCTACCTGTCTGTCCCTTGTAATTTGTCTATAACAGGAATAATCCAACTGTCTGCCCCTTGTAATTCGTCTCTTACATGATTATTCTAACTGTCTGTCCCTATAACAGCTCGTCTCTTAAAGGAATACTCCAACTGTCTGTCCCCTGTTATTATTTACTACAGGAGAACTCCAACTGTCTTTGCCTATAGTAATTGGTCTCTAACATGAATACTCCAACTGCCTGTTCCTTGTTATTATTTACCACAGGAGAACTCCAATTGTCTTTGACTATAGTAATTGGTCTCTAACATGAATACTCCAACTGTCTGTCCTTTGTTATTATTTACTACAGGAGAACTCCAATTGTCTTTGTCTATAGTAATTGGTGTCTTTCATGAATACTCCAACTGCCTGTCCCTATAACAATTCGTCTCTTATAGGTCCCTTGTAATTTGTCTCTTACAGGACACTCCAACTGTCTGTCACTTTAACAACTCGTCTTTAACAGGAGTACTCCAACTGTTTGTCCCTTGTTATTTGTCTATCACAGCGGTACTCCAACTGTCTGTCCCTATAACAACTCGCCTGTTACAGGAGTACTCCAACTGTCTGTCTCTATAACATCTCGTCTGTTACAGAAGTACTCCAACTGTCTGTCCCTTGTAATTTGTCTCTTACAGGAGAACTCCAACTGTTTGTCCCTTGTTATTTGTCTATCACAGCGGTACTCCAACTGTCTGTCTCTATAACAACTCGTCTGTTACAGGGTTACTCCAACTGTCTGTCCCTTGTAATTTGTCTCTTACAGGAGAACTCCACCTGTCTGTCCCTTGTAATTTGTCTATTACAGGAGAACTACAACTGTCTGTCCCTATAACAACTCGCCTGTTACAGGAGTACTCCAACTGTCTGTCTCTATAACAACTCGTCTGTTACAGGGTTACTCCAACTTTCTGTCCCTTGTAATTTGTCTCTTACAGGAGAACTCTAACTGTCTCTTCCTTGTACGTTGTCTGTTACAGGAGAACTCCAACTGGTTGTCTCTTACAGAAGTACTCAACTCTCTGTCCCTATTACAAACTCGTCTGTTACAGGAGTACTCCAAATGTCTGTCCCTATAACAACTCCTCTGTTACAGGATTAACAACTCGTCTGTTTCAGGGTTACTCAAACTGTCTGTCCCTTGTAATTTGTCTCTTACAGAAGAACTCTAACCGTCTGTCCCTTGTAATTTGTCTCTTACAGGAGAACTCTAACCGTCTGTCCCTTGTAATTTGTCTCTTACAGGAGAACTCCACCTGTCTGTCCCTTGTAATTTGTCTATTACAGGAGAACTACAACTGTCTGTCCCTATAACAACTCGCCTGTTACAGTAGTGCTCCAACTGTCTGTCCCTATAACAACTCGTCTGTTACAGGTTTACTCAAACTGTGTGACTCTATACCAATTCGTCTGTTACATGAATACTCCAACTGTCTCTCCCTATAACAACTCGCCTGTTACAGGAGTGCTCCAACTGTCTGTCCCTATAAAAAATCCTCTGTTACAGGAGTACTCCAACTGTCTGTCCCTCGTAATTTGACTCTTACAGGTGAACTCTAACTGTCTGTCTCTATACCAATTCGTCTGTTACAGATTTCCCCAACTGTCTGTCCCTTGTAATTTGTCTATTACAGGAGAACTACAACTGTCTGTCCCTATAACAACTCGCCTGTTACATGAGTGCTCCAACTGTCTGTCCCTATAACAACTCGTCTGTTATAGGAGTACTCCAACTGTCTGTCCCTATAACAACTCCTCTGTTGCAGGAGTACTACAACTGTCTGTCCCTCGTAATTTGTCTCTTACATGAGAACTCTAACTGTCTCTTCCTTGTACGTTGTCTGTTACAGGAGTACTCCAACTGGTTGTCTCTTACAGGAATACTCCAACTGTCTGTCCCTATTACAAACTCGTCTGTTACAGGAGTACTCCAAATATCTGTCCCTATAACAACTCCTCTGTTACAGGAATAACAACTCGTCTGTTACAGGGTTACTCAAACTGTGTGTCTCTATACCAATTCGTCTGTTACATGAATACTCCAACTGTCTGTCCCTTGTTATTTGTCTCTTACAGGAGAACTCCAACTGTCTGTCCCTATTACAAACTCGTCTGTTACAGGAGTACTCCAAATGTCTGTCCCTATAACAACTCCTCTGTTACAAGAGTACTCCAACTGTCTGTCCCTCGTAATTTGACTCTTACAGGTGAACTCTAACTGTCTGTCTCTATACCAATTCGTCTGTTACAGATTTCCCCAACTGTCTGTCCCTTGTAATTTGTCTATTACAGGAGATCTCCAACTGTCGGCCCCTATAACAACTCGCCTGTTACAGGAGTGCTCAAACTGTCTGTCCCTATAACAACTCGTCTGTTATAGGAGTACTCCAACTGTCTGTCCCTATAACAACTCCTCTGTTACAGGAGTACTCCAACTGTTTGTCCCTATAACAACTCCTCTGTTACAGGAGTACTACAACTGTCTGTCCCTCGTAATTTGTCTCTTACAGGAGTACTTCTGTCCCTATGACAACTTACCTGTTACCGGAGTGCTCCAACTGTCTGTCCCTATAACAACTCGTCTGTTATAGGAGTACTCCAACTGTCTGTCCCTATAACAACTCGCCTGTTACAGTAGTGCTCCAACTGTCTGTCCCTATAACAACTCGTCTGTTACAGGAGAACTCCAACTGTCTGTCCCTATTACAAACTCGTCTGTTACAGGAGTACTCCAACTGTCTGTCCCTATTTACAGGAGTGCTCCAACTGTCTGTCCCTATAACAACTCGTCTGTTACAGGAGTACTCCAACTGTCTGTCCCTATAACAACTCCTCTGTTACAGGAGTACTACAACTGTCTGTCCCTCGTAATTTGTCTCTTACAGGAGAACTCTAACTGTCTCTTCCTTGTACGTTGTCTGTTACAGGAGTACTCCAACTGGTTGTCTCTTACAGAAGTACTCAACTCTCTGTCCCTATTACAAACTCGTCTGTTACAGGAGTACTCCAACTGTCTGTCCCTATAACAACTCCTCTGTTACAAGAGTACTCCAACTGTCTGTCCCTCGTAATTTGTCTCTTACAGGAGAACTCTAACTGTCTCTTCCTTGTACGTTGTCTGCTACAGGAGAACTCCAACTGTCTGTCCCTATTACAAACTCGTCTGTTACAGGAGTACTCCAAATATCTGTCCCTATAACAACTCCTCTGTTACAGGAGTACTCCAACTGTCTGTCCTTCGTAATTTGTCTATTACAGGAGAACTCCAACTGTCTGTCCCTATTACAAACTCGTCTGTTACAGGAGTACTCCAACTGTTTGTCCCTATAACAACTCCTCTGTTACAGGAGTACTCCAACTGTCTGTCCCTCGTAATTTGTCTGTTACAGGAGTACTCCAACTGTCTGTCCCTCGTAATTTGTCTCTTACAGGAGAACTCTAACTGTCTGTCCCTCGTAATTTGTCTCTTACATGAGAACTCTAACTGTCTCTTCCTTGTACGTTGTCTGTTACAGGAGTACTCCAACTGGTTGTCTCTTACAGGAGTACTCCAACTGTCTGTCCCTATTACAAACTCGTCTGTTACAGGAGTACTCCAAATATCTGTCCCTCGTAATTTGTCTCTTACAGGAGTACTCCAACTGTCTGTCCCTATAACAACTCGTCTGTTACAGGAGTACTCCAACTGTCTGTCCATATAACAACTTGTCTGTTACAGGAGTACTCCAACTGTCTGTCCCTTGTAATTTGTCTCTTACAGGGGTACTCCAACTGTCTGTCCCTATAACAACTCGTCTCTTACAGGAGTACTCGACCTGTCTGTCCCTATACGTGCCTGTCTCTTACGGGAGTTTACTAATTACTCTTAGCTTACTCGTCTCTTACAGATAAACAGTGCATGCCCGGATAGGTAGGTAACCACCGAACAAGTCACCAACCTGTAGTAGAAGAGGCATTTTGTGCTACGTTGCTGGTATATGGCTCTTTTTTTACATAGTAGGTTTATGGCTATCAATGTTCTTGAAATAGCAAAATGAATTTAACTTTACTCCTAGGCTTTGAGGGCTGCAGGCACAATGGGTGTTGACGACCTTATCAGTAGGATTACCGCTGATCTAAGACAATGTAGGTATAATATACATGTCGCTGTAAATGATATCCTAATGAAACTGCATACTAATGCAACCTTGATGATGCCCGTTTACTCATCGTTTCTTCAATTCTGAACTAATCGCAATTTCAGGGGATGTGATTATTTTGAGAATATATCCTTTAAAAAGCAGGGAACCTTAGTGGCCGACTGGTTGTTGCATCTGACCATTCGGAATGGTCTTACCTGTTATAGACCGATGATCAAAATTAAAGAAAAAGACTCAAAGAATATCACGAAGCAATACAGCCAAATGATGCATTTTATATATCGCTGACTCCTATTACTTACTGGCAAGATATATTTACTAACTCAACAGTTTGAGATACTGAGTGTTTATATTGATTTACTAACTCAAAGTATCGTATGTTAGCTCAACTGTCATATGTTCGAAGTACAACTATAATAAATCGAAAATCTGTTCGTTTCATAAAATTGGAGGTTATCATCGAAAAAAATGTCTCGGGGATGAATCATGGGGCCACATTATTTTCTTTTATACGAAGTCGAGGGATATCTTCTACCATATTGGATTTCATTTTCTCCATCTGATTTATAAGTAAAGGATGTTATTTACATGTACCTCCCATTCTGTTTCAACAGTAGTTTAGACAGATTTTAAACCTTTTGGCCACTGGCAACACCAATGAGCCCTGGAAGAACGTAACTGTATAATGCGTTGTTAAGCACTCTTGGCATGCTGTATCTATTACCAAAGGTGTGTTTTAAAGACTTCAAATTTCACCTGTGTACATGTATGTGTTACGTTCATCAACAAATGATCTTTCAAATAGATACTCCTTTAACCTCTTTAGAATCTCGAAAATTTGAATAAAGTAGTCTTAATTACGAGGAAATGTTACGATGTTTATCGCAACTCCGAGTGAGTACATCGAATTTTCGAGGAGGTTTCTCGAAATTTCGAATTTCAATTGTTACAAACGGAATCGAGTGACCTTTTGATCAATTTTATGTACAACTGTTAAAATACACCTACAGTTGTAATAAAATGGGAAATGTATATAAGGGTCCAGCATAGTTTAAAATTACATAAATCAGTCAATCAATCAATCAATCAATCAATCAATCAATTAATCAATTAATCGATATGAATAATTGCTTTTAGATTTTGAAATACAATAATTATAGGTGATAAAGCCACACGTTTAATTTGTAGCTTTACTTAACAAAACATCATCACTGATGACCCCTGCCGGAGCCCTCCACATCCTTCCAGCTCTCGCGGGAACATCACCTTTGGACATAGGGAGGACCGTCTGTCAACAAGAAAGTCAGTAACGGTTGTCTTAAGATTTAAGGGCTATATATGTATAATAATTCTTTAGATGGTATTCCACTAAGTATAGACTAGTCCAATGGAGTAAATTACATGACTAGGCGAAATGACTATGTTTCCTAGAGCGAAACTAAATCAATGATGTTATCGAACGAAATGGTATACATATTTTAAATAAATCGGAGATTTAACAAAAACGTTTCTGTGCCTATAAAAGCATACTTTTTCTCTTGAACCTAGTGGCAAAGTAAACGTCTAACATGAGGATAAATATTTCAATTGACGTCATTCAATTGTGACGTCAAAGTATAGTGTACAGACTTAGACGTATACTACTCATTCAGGGAATAACATGTAACCTTGTTCTAGAGGAAAACAGCAATAGAGTTCTTCTTCTATAATATTCTTAAGGGATTAGGTACTCAATCTGAAATTTCACAGCTAATGGCATGTCGAATGTCACATCATCAAGTGAGGTGACATTGAAGATCACAGTGGATGATGGACGGGCCCTGTACACTCCAGACTCGTGGACTATTACCATAGCTAATGGAACTACGCTGTATGATGCAATGTTGGTTCTTCAGCAACGTACATCTTCATTCAGGTGAATACGTAATACGGTTAACTGTTTCTTCTTATGCTTCAATTAGAAATGATAAATGTATACCCACGTGAATGGATCACCCGAAAAGACTGGGATTACTTGTGCAAAATGTATATATAACAGGCAAACACGTGATTAGTTAAGCTAATAATATCTGGACTAGTTGTGACTGCGCATTCTTAATACGATTTTTTTTTTATAAAACGGATTGGTTATGATAACAACACATGCGATTCGTTAATATATATATGTATATTTAAATTGTGTTTGCAACAGGTAGATCCAAGATAAGGAAACATTTGTAATGTGATTGGTTTTAATAGAATTTAACGTTTTTGACAACACAGATGCATGTATAAACAGGAAAACATGTCACTAGTTTAAACATATGATTGGTTGTGATAGACACGACCGAACTTGATATCTGATGCATTATCCACGTATACAATTGTTTGAAACAGATGCGAGTACGAATACGTTTGTTTGCACTTTAATTTTGTAGTAGACTGATTGTTGGAAACAAACACGAGGTTAAAACATTTCGACGAAACATTCATTTGTAATGGTTTCCTGGTATCAATTCTCGAAATCGATTTCTTTTGTTTTACCATGGCAAATTGCATTTGAAGATAGTTATAGCATAGCCTTTTATATTTTTTTCTAATGAAATGTTTCATCCTTACATACGCCGTCTATAGCTAATGGTCAGTTACGTTGTACCAGATGTTTTGAAAGTGAAACTAATCACGCGTTGACGTCAGCAAATTTACCCAACTTTATATTTTTTGTCAGATTCCAGGCGACTCATTCATCGTTTGGTTACTCAGTGGAGTCCATAAATGGCGTCAGATCTGATACCACCAAATCTACATACTGGCAGATCCTTCAAACTGGAAACATACCCATTTCTTCTAGTAAGTTCTCACAATTCACAACTCTTCTAGTACGTAATCGGTATCAACATTTCTATTGGTATTTGTTCATTGTATATGTGTATATGTATCTTTCAGTAAATCTATACATCTGTAGTAGTTTATTTCAACGTATATCAAATTTGTTTTGTATAAAATGTTACGCGTAACTGGTCAAGTTAGCGTAAAGTGTATACAATTTTCAGTAAGTGTTTGCACAATATTAATAGGACTACAGGATATATATCTTTTGTAGTAAGATTTGTAGACAAAAAATATTATATATACACTGTTGAAATTGTCTAATGTATATATCTCTTGCAATAAGAGTTTATTGTATATTTCTCTTGTAATTATTGCTCAATGAACACACTTTTCTTAAAGTAAGATTACGAAGAATATGTTTTAACGTATTTTCATTCTTATTATATAACGATTCAAGTTTATGTGACTCTCGTCTTTTTAATGCAGTAAATGTTTCATTTTTGGAGATTCATATTTATCTAACTCTCATTAGTGGATTAAATATTGTGTCTTGTTGAAAAAAAGCAACAACATAAAGTTATTTCGAATTTGATCTAAAGTAGTGAGATTTCTTTCTACAATAGCTTATTCAACATCGTGTTTCGTCGTTTTAATAAACTAGAATGGAAACGTTTCCTTTCAGCAAGCCTTACTTTTGTCAAATAACATAGGACATCATGCAGGTGTTGACACTCTATAGTGACGTCATATTGAAGGGCATAAGGTCAAAATACGAACTCTTTTACAGTCAAAGGATTTGCTTACTACGCATGTCACACTTTCGTCATGCGTGATTATAATCAATAATAACAAATACAACACTTTGCCTTCATATGATTTAATACGTGCATGAAAACATCGAGGAAGACAACAGTGTACACATCTCTTGTAAAAAAATGCATTTTATACATATGTTCTTCTAATACCTCATACGTGTTTTCAGCTTAAGCTTATACATATACGTTTTGCTTTTATATATTTATTCTAACAAGCGTTCAGTTAATCATCACATCTAGTAAAACGTTCAGCGATCGTTTCTAGAAGGACATGTAGTTGTCGCAATTAGCCTATACAATTCAGACGTGTAGTGTTAAATTTCAAATCTGGTAACGTTGTTAAATACGATTGAAACTACAGCAATGGTTAATTGTGTTACACCTGTAATAAAAGACATCTTTGATCCGTGTATCTCTAAATTTGTGTTATTGTCAAAAGAATTTTGCGTGAATTTAGTAAAATCTGTTGCAATTTAATTGATAATACAGACAAAATAGCCGTGACATTGACAAACGTGGAAGGTGAATTAGGCAGGTGATTAACGCAATATATAACATACATGGATACAGGAACAACTTGCAACACAAACTATCAAATAAATAATATTAATTACTGATATGTGTGTAAACATATGATTTATTACACTTTTACCAGGGGAATATTGAAAATTATTCATTCTATAGTGTTGCGCACTCGTGAAAGATATCAAAATATTAGTCACACTCGTGAAATATATTTGGTATTACTGAAGACACTATTTGACATCTATATGTACGTCGATAACGTTGGTATTACCGTTGTGCAGTGTTACGCGAAATAGTATACCTGAACGTATGTTAGCATTGTTGAACCGTAACGCTTTAGAAAAGCCAGATTAAACAGGTACAAAGTATATTACACAAAGGGTAAATATCAGATCATATTTGCATCACGCACTAAACTTGTTAATAACTCTACTTTTTATTACAGGTGTGAGCGGGACTATTCCAAAGGAGGGAGATCATTTCATTTTTCGTTTAAAAACTTGGGGGCACTAAATCACAAGGTTCAACAGTCAACAGCAAAACATCAAATCACTGCGGTTGTTTAACAGCGTGGTAGTTTTCTGATTAAAAATAGCTGCTCTTCTCTCATCTATGTCTTTGTTATATTTTAGGGCATTTAAATATCTATATTTCCTTAAAGGAACCAGACACAATTTATCTAAGCAAGCGATACTGAAATTAATATTTATTTATATTTGTACATGTCTCTCCCTCCTGTTGTATTTGATGCAGACAGAGAAACAAGAAAGAGAGTTCATGATTAGACTTTAAAACGTTCTTTGAAAAAAAAATGTATTTTATTCTCCAATTTTTTTATCTTTAGTATTGCATGCTTTTATCCACGCTTAAAGACGATAAATTAACAGAAACAATAGAAAGTACCTAGGTTACGCAGAAAGACAGAAATTAAACCTGATTGGCTAAATATATATGCAAAGCTGTGAAGTTTCAGTCAGAGGCATTATTTTGCCCTTTTTGCATCCTACAGCATCACATTCTCAAAGATCAATCCAATAAATTTAGCGACACACTCATCTTTATCATCGGAAACCCTTTTAGGTTCTGACATTTCATTCTTTTAACGTTGGTATTATCTTACTGTACATTACACACCTTTCTTATTGTAAAACCCTTCTACATGTACGTAGAGGAATATCCTATTGTTTTTTGATTTTTTTTCTCAGTATATCTTGATTATAAATGAAAAAAATGAGCTGCTGAGCCTCGGACTAAACATGAATATGTGTACTAGTACTGATGATAATTTCTGACATAGTGTTCGTTAACAAAGCTTTAATATGATAATGATAACCCCCCCAAAACAAAACCACCCACAAAAAATGTGAAAAAACGTTTTTTTACACTGGTAGCTTATAATCGATTAGTGATATTATGGCAACATATAAAAATATCATTTTGCATGGTGGACATTGGAAAAGTACATGAAATTCAATAAGACCAGATGTTCAGGAAGGGTAAGCGTATTTTGCTTCATTGAGGAATCCAGCCATGTAAACCTATCTAACATTCAAGTGATGTCGGGTTCTCAAAACAAAAACACCCAATAAAACAAATTACGATAAAGGATTGTTAAGGTTAAATCGTTCTATACATTGTAGTTCAATTTGTATCGGATTTAATAACGCTGTCAAAATGTTTCTTTTGCAAACATATCAACTGCTAATTAATGTTTCTTCATAAACCTTTGTTAATTTAAACTTATTTTTCTTTACATATTATTATATCAAGCTAAATAAACATTGCGTTTATATGTACAACACATGTATCGAAATATGATGTAAATTATACATTGTAGGTAACTCTTCATTCAATTTCTATGATCTTTAGTCTTATTTCATCAGCCAAATTCGTTAGTGTCCGGTAATTCCTTGATGATATTTTGTAACAATGGTACTGATCATTAAATGGTAGTTCATATACACACCTAAGGCGTTCATGTAATCCTTGATACAGTTGTTTGTCACTGGCACTGGTCCTATTTTGTAAGTTCATATGCATGTTGTTGGTATAATGTTAATGCTTAAACATGTTGTATATTATACTGTTACTGGTCCTACAATGTTGGTCCTACAATGGTTTACAATGTCCGTGCATGTAAACCCATGTGGTATCCCGGTAATCCCTTACCATGTATCATGATACACACTGGTTCTACATTGTCATTCAATATGTATGGTATCAAAGTTTTCCTGATACTTAACGCCGGTACCAGTCCTACATTGTCAGTTTACATACACGTCTGTGGTGTCAAGGTAATCTCTGATAACGTTGTAGCAGCATTGGCATTGGTCCTACAATATATTTGAATTTATTACTTAATAAAACGATTTGAAAAAATATTTTTATTTTCGCAAGGTTAATTCACTGCAAGTTGTTATGTTAAATGATAACAGAGTCTTAACTTAAATATTTTATCATATGTATAATCTGAATTAAATGCTCATTTCGTTGGCTATTGTAAAAACGAGGACATATGTTTCTATATAAGCGAGCTAGATACTCATTTCGGAACGATTTATGTCATACGAATTGAAAAATATGATATTAGGAAAAAATCCAATAAAACAATTCCGGGAAAACAATATTCACTAAGACCATAATCAAACTATTATAACCTGTAGACCACAGCACCGAGTACCGATCAACGATCTTGTGAACACATTTACATTCGTAATTGCGTAATGTAATTGAAATATAAACGTTTACTCACACAATGCATTACTCATGGACGTCGCACAAGCAGTTGTCTAGAAATCTGTAATATGTCGACCTCCTCGTCACTCTTCATACGGTGTCTAGCATTGCTGATGCAGCAGAACAATCCGCTCTGGGAATAACCGTCCCTGAAAAAGTGCCATAGTTACATATGAATACAAGACAGTATACTTTTCATAGCGAAAATTTAATCACTCCGTAAATCATATGTAAACTTATTATACGATATTGTAAAGTTGACACTAATTTCAAGCAACCAAACTCTTTTGATCTCTGTTGTTGTTCCATGTATATGATCTCTGACGTTCGTTCTAAATAGTTAGAATTAAGATACAAAATATTAGTCCTTTCTTTTCTCCTATGTTTTAGCTTGACGTTTAACTATTTGTTCGTTTATTATGACTTCAAATTCTCTTCTAATGTTTGATGCTATAAATAATTTTACATACAATCTGGAATTTGATATCTGGAATTTGCTCCATTGACATTGGTAAATATGTTTTTTGGATATCTGCACTGTTATAAGGAACAAGACTCTGGTAAATAATACCTACCGACACATGATCACTGTCGACATGGAGTCGTCCGACAACAAGTTACAAGAGTTGTAGAAGACATGATGAATCCGGCGGTATGGATGAATCACTATCTCAATCGGTTAAGTGGAACACTCGTACTTTCGATTCAAATTTGCTGGCCCAAGTGAATGCGTGTTGCTATATATTTGCAAATCATTGGATGAAAATGTCTGCCATTACAATCATGCACTTATACTTTTAAGTATCTCCTTTTTAATATTGTAGAATTAAATAGTGTATCGCATATGAAGGATGATAATGACACACGATAACTTTATCTATAATTTCCATGCCGTTGTCAGAACATGGACAATGTATGTGACGTCACGAAATAAAAGATAATGGCGTTAAGGAATAATCCCTGAAAACTTCCGTTTAATGTTTATTAACCAGAGTTTTCATGTTACCTAGTTACTCTCAGAAAACCACTGGACGCATTTACAAGTTGTGAAATGAAAGTAACTTAATTGTTCTATATATTCATGTATTACATTAAGGTTGCTGTGAACTTGTTTCTAATATATATAGTATTTGATTACAAACATGTATTGTTTTGCACCACAGATATTGAATGCATTCAAGTATTGAAATGCAACTTTTGTGATTAAATTCATGAGGGTATGCACCAACGTCCAAACGTATCAATGATGCTCGAATGCATTTTCATAATTTATGTTACTGAGATGTTTCCTTTGGGTGATGCACTGTAGCACACTTTAAACAACTATTTCAACCAAATTATGGAACAGCCATTTTTTTTGATTGAATAAGTCGTGTTTTCTATTGTAAGCATTTTCGTCAAGCGACAAACGTCATATGAACTAATCGGGAATTTCCATTACAATTTGAATTTGAATGAAAAAATTAACAGGAAGACGAAAAGACTCGACTATTTTCCGACTGGGAAATATTCACGTGTGATAGTCCGTGCTGCTATTAGTTTATTACAATATTTTGGTTTGTTGGGTTATCTTAGGACAGTACCGGTGTACACATGGGATGATTAAAAAAATATTTTTAAAGGAGATATAACAAAACTTAAGCAGGACTCGAATGTAAATTACTGTATATGGTTCCGATCCTTAAAATTTCGATTAAAGACAGTATATTAAAAATGTTGATGACAACATCTGTTTTTTCTAGAAGTGTACTTTGGTATATATACCATGTATACTGACGACCAAATGCTTGTTTATGTAAATGACACACGGAAAGATTTCATAATTCATTTTCAATTTTCATGCAATATGTATTTAGAAAACAAGTATATTTAAAAAAAAGTGTTGTTTGCACCTAGCATTCAGCTATCTTACAACACTTTAATTAAAATAACATTTAGAAATTTGCTAGATTTATATTTGCAAAGAAATTGTTGACGGCCAGAAAGTACAAATACGTACTAATGATTACGACAAGAGACCGACAGTTACCGAAGACTGATTTTTACTTTAGGAATTGAGCTTTTTTGCTAACTAATAATAGCAATTATATGGAAAGGAGGGTTTTCTACCGAAAAATACCTTGGTTTATCTATGTACAGAATTTAAATAATAAAGTACTACAATTATTTCTTACGTGTGTCCTTCAAGCATTACTGCTTTCAAGCTTTTCAACTACCAACAAACGCTTCAACAGCTGAAGTTCAATTACCGTCCAATAATTCCTGCTTCAGCACGAAGTTGTTCTACATCATAATAGAACTATGGTCAAGCCAATCATTCGAAGACAAATTGGAAGCTTGAAATCCAAAATAAGTCTCATGTTCGTCTGAATCACTATCTCAAATAAACCCCAGTAACATACAATGTCTTCACAAAACAGTGATCAAAGTTTGCATTACCGATAATCTTCAAAAGACATATTGAAGTTTTATTATCTTCGAATTTTTCGACTTTTTTTTAAAAAGTCTGTCTGAAAAGATGTCGTCGAAAAGTTTATTTTGTGAAGGAATTGTTGGGTGAAAAGGTTATAACAATACACAATATTTTAATTCAGTTTGATGCCAAGATTTTCCAGCAGGCTGTTGGCATTTCTATGACTGAAAAATGTGCTTTTTGTCTCTTCGATTTTGTTTAATTGAAACGGAATTTAACAGGTCCCTTTATTTCCATCAGCACCACTAGCGAGAAGATTGGATTTCCTGGTTGTGAACTTTCTCTTTCTTGATAGCAACATCCCTGTGTCCTAAAAGTGTTAAGTCAAGTCGTAGTTGATTCGGTATTCAAGAAGTTGATGGATTACTGCAGACGGACAAACTTACAACACAAGGTTTTA